ACCTCCGGTGTACAAGTATATATACTATTTTAAATTCATTCTTATTATCCAGTAAATTAACAGTTAGAAATTGTGTTATTGCCATCATTAGAGATTTTGTACTGTCCCAAGCCAATAGTCTTGAAATTAATGTAGTTTTACTGTATCATCATATCCATAAAAAAACTTCAATAGGCTAAAGGGACCTGCATCTTTCACATAGCTAATTTAGCTTTTCAGTCATTTGATAAAGAAATTCAAATGACAAACTTGGAGCTTACAATTTCTCAATGGGGCCCAATTCCTTCAACCCAACAAGGTGTCAGGATCAAATGTTTATACAGAGCTGATTCCCATTAACTGAAGAATACTTCAGACCAAATTTTAGCAAAATCCAATCATTTCAACAGGACTTTGATTTGCTGCATTTCCCCTGTAGGGGCACCATCATTTCCTCGCCAGCAGTCAGAGATCTACAGTTAAAAAAAAAGAAAATTCATTCCCCTTCACCATAGATTTCTTCGGATCAAATTTGGGCAATATCCATCCATTCCTACAGGACGAGTAAAAATTTTTAAAGAATTTACCCTCCCATATTGGGTACAGGTTTACCAAAGGATGCTTCAGACCAAGTTTAGGTAAAGTCCATTCATTCCTGCAGGGTGAGTAGGTTCTTAAAGACCCCTCCCCCCAACCCGAACCAATATGTATAAAACTTGGTTTTCCAACCCCCTAAGGATGCTTCTGACCATAACTAGAAACAATTTTCAGTATAAAGTTGGCGGACGCTGCACCATGGCATAAGTTCACCTCAGTGGTCATTTGACCAGGTTTGTTAAAATTTACCTCACTGGTCTTTGGACCAGGTGAGCTTAAAGACAACAAAGACAAAATTTATAAGTTTCAGTTGTTTTAGTTACAAAAATATAAATATAATTGATATACATAAACTTTAATGCTATGGATTGGATCCAATAACAGACCCCGAGACAAGTACACTTACCTGGTATATACGTCAGACGGACACATGATTTATCTCCCCTTGTTGTAAATGTATGACTTACAATGCTTCAGGAAATAGGTGGACAAACATTTCACCCTTTATTTGTTTCCAGTTGCAAATAACACTTTATAATGGTGTAATAAGGAATGTGTTATCATAGATGATGATGAAATGATAATGTGGGACAATCCCAACTGCCTTAAAAAATGTCATGAATTTGTGAAAGTCTCAGCATTCAATATTGAGCGAGACAGTCAACTGGAATGATAGACAAATGGAATCCATCAAACTGTTTTAATTCTCCAAAATAATTTTTTTATCTGAAGGTTGGCAGATTATTTTGCACTAAAACGTGAAACAACCTGACTGTAAAGATTAAAACCGCAATCAGATAGCAAAAGATGAAATTTTCTAACATAAAAAATTTTTCACATATAATCATCGAAAACTTGTTCACAATTTTCCTTTTTTTGGGGGGTCTGTTTTGTGGATTTTTGTTATTACATAAAAATTTCTCATAACAGGACTGTTCTGTTGTTCATGGCAAATGTACTATATGACGTGTGTAATAACACTAACATGATGTTGTAGATAAATAATATGAACACAGGATTGTCTCAGTATTGAAATGGTACTATTCAAGATAATAGCCTGTTTTATAAACAAAAATATGAGATCTTACACTCATAACAAGGCCATACTGAATTCATCAAATGTTTTTAATAATTTTATACAAAATTTGCCTAAAATCACAGAACTTGATCATTGAAGTCATGATCAAACAGGATTTCCAAACTTCTTTACCAATTTCAGTGATAAAAATGAATTTGTGTTTTTTTTTCTGAGAAAACTATATATGCTTGATAAGAGCTATTCCAGTACAATATCTACCTGACCTTAGGACTACAAAAATAAATAATTTCCATCCATAGTTTGGTTTCCTACCTATTACTTTCAGGCAAATTATCACCTAAATGGATGGTACCCTTGTACAGAACTTGGAGTCCTGGGTTGGTAAAAGATGTTTTAAACTGGAATAGGCCTAAATAGAATGAACACATATTTATACTGAAAAAACAAGTTCCCAGTCTGCATATTAAAATCAACATACAATTGAACACAAGAAATCTGGTGTTGTGTCTATAAGGTGAACGATAGGAATGCTGACAAATTTCCTTAGGACCAGAAAATGGGTGTTGTAATACCTAGAAAGTAGCCCACATCTAACCCATGCATAGAAATACTGTGAATGAATATATTTTGTTACATTTTTGTACATGACGTTTTTTAAAAATCAGGTACAATGATAAATTCACATAACAATTTGAAAAACCTTCAAAAATTACCATACTGCTAATCTGGTGGGTTTTGATTTTGATAAAACATAAAAATTATCAAAAAAGGAATGCCTTTAAGATAAAATCACCAGATTTAGAGAACTCCAAAATTGGTTTCAGAATTTCTGTGAAAAATGAATCCTTTTAACACAACACAAATTGGTGTTATCGGAAAAAAAAAAAAAAAAATGTGTGTAATGCTTCAAGTGGCAAATAAATTGTTGTAAGATGGTAATGAAAATACATACCTCACATTATGTCACGATTTCTATTGACTCTCTACATATTAAAACAGTTCAGGCATTCCTCAGTTTCTCTATAAATACTAACATTCCTGAAATCATCCACATGTTTTTCAATTTACTCATCATTTACTCTACATCCAGATTCACATCATCAATGACGATCATAACACTTCTCTATCATTTTTTTTTGCTTCATTCCTCGTTCATACATTTTTTATTGGTTTCACTAACTTCAATCTAAGATCATATACATTGTCCATCAGTCTCCCGAATTTCAATCTCGGTTCATACATTTTCCACCAGTCTCACTAATTTCAATCTCAGATCATAATTTTCCACCAGATTCCCCGATTTCAACCTCAAACCATACATTTTCTGTCAGTCTCCTTAACTTCAATCTCAGATCATACATTGTCCATCAGATTCCCTGATTTCAATCTCAGATCATACATTTTCCACCAGTCTCCCTAATTTCAATCTCAGATCATACATTTTCCACCAGTCTCCCTAATTTCAATCTCAGATCATACATTTTCCATCAGTCTCCCTAATTTCAATCTCAGATCATACATTTTCCATCAGTCTCCCTAATTTCAATCTCGGTTCATACATTTTCCGTCAGTCTCACTAATTTCAATCTCGGTTCATACATTTTCCATCAGTCTCCCTAATTTCAATCTCAGATCATACATTTTCCATCAGTCTCCCTAATTTCAATCTCGGTTCATACATTTTCCATCAGTCTCCCTAATTTCAATCTCTGACCATACCTTTCCATCTTTTTCTATACGCTCAGTGAGACTGATATAGAACACTCATAGGTCAATCTTACAGAGCTAAAACTAAAAAAAAAAACTGCATACAGTCACAATCAAACCACAACAAATATATCAAGCATTCTTGTATTTGATACAAATTTTTCTTTTTAAACAGTCATTCTATCAGACCCTGACAAGTCTTGTAACATTCTTATTCCAATAAACAGACATGCTTCAAATATGTAAACAATACAAAAGTTGTTGGCACAAACAGGGTTGAGAATAAGGAGCAAACAAGAATACCAAAATTTTTTGTTAAGCAGCTTAAATCTGTGCAAGACTGTCTGTAATTTATGAATATGTTTTCCAAATTTTAAAACTACATCAACTATGATATGTAATTGGTCAAATATCATTTTTTTTTTTTTTTAAATTTCATGGAGTACATGTTCATATCTAAAGATATTTAAGATTGAGATTTTTCTAAAATCTGATGATCCCTGAGAAAAATCTTGATGTAAAAGCTGTGAGAAATGAATCTTGATGAAGGGAACCAAAATATGTTCTATCCCAAAGCCATTTCATTCATTCTTTTTTAAATATGACATATCAAAATTAAAAAAAACGCCATTTTCAAAGCTTGGAGGACCTATTTATATTTTTTTTCGAAATTATTTGCAATGGTTTCATGACTGTTAACCAGGAGATACCAGATGAGTACAAGCTCTGTCTAAATCTCATCTGACTGGCTCGGTAAACAACCATAGAAGCAAGCCTGCAGAGGTGTTATAGTTTAAAAACTAACACACAACTGACACGGTACCAAGTCCCTCGACAACGGAGAGTAAAAATGAAGAAAATCGATTTTGTGAATGAGTATATCAAGCAGAGGTATATTTGTATTATGGAATCAACGAGAAATGTGTTCATGTATCCCTGATATCTCAACAACATGTCATCATTAAATATAGCACTGGTCCTCTTCAATCCAATTATAAATTATTTTTTGTCCTGTCAATCTGACAGGACAGGTTTAACTTCAAAGTGAACATCCCACTGTCACCAAGCATCAGCTTTATCATTCTTAATGTCAACTTCTACTAACTTGTTTGTTTTCAAGGCCACACTTATATCGAAAAGGGGAATATTTGATCAGATATGTACTGGTCTTTTCTCCTGATTTTGAAAAAAATAAAAAATAAAAAATTCACAATAACAGCTTCAAAATTATTCATATTTTGGTGAAATATGAATATGATATTTTCTTGTTCAAGTTAAACCAAAAAGCAATACAACCAGATTATCTGATTTACAATGTCACAAACAAAAATTATAGGAAAACACTGGCCTCAGTAAAAAATTTAGTTAATTTTTTTTAATCATCTGTGATAGCCAAAAAATCCTTTTAGACTATTTCCCCATCAGATAAATTCTTAATATCCTGATTTCACAGTTTGTAAATACTGCTTAAAATATACCTAAAACAGACACAGAGATATTTGATTCAATGTAAAATGATAAAATTGAGAATGGTCACATGATCATTGTGAGTTAGAAAATATCATCTACCTTGTAGTAGATGAAGATGGTGTTTTTGAAAACCTCATTCACACTCCTCCTGAAACTAAACTCTCGCTAAACTTATTCTGATTCTAGTTCACACACACTCACTCTGTTGTCATTGCTTCCGTGCAGAACTATCACCAGACAGAAAATGTCGACTTTTCCGCTTTGTTGTCCTCCTCAGCGTCATATGACTTGACACACTGCCTTGAACAAATCCTCTCAAAGTACCTTGTGGAGAGAAATTAGCACCATTATTGCTTTTAGAACTGTGACTTTCCAAGCCACTTATATGATTGTTTTGCACACAGACACCTCCGAATACATGAGAGGCATGACCAGAAATCCCGAGAGAAGATCGCGGGAGGAGTGGGACGGGGCTTAACTTGGCTTCCCCGCCAGATGACCCTGGCGAAGACACACCTGAAGAGGATCTAATGTCTGGACTACATTCGACCCCAGTAACACGCAGGGGAGATAACTGTAGTGATCCTTCACAAGGCAAGTCATTCTCTGACCCCACAGCACCATTACTATGTTCCTCAAATTTGTTTTCTTCACTCAAGTCTGTAAAACAAAAGCAACATCAGTTAAGAGGGGATGCTATGATAGCAGTATCATTACAGACACCAAACCATGCTCAGCGTAGAAACTAGAATTTATTTATGTTATATCATTTTCAATATTCCAGAGGTCACATCATTAACTATTGCTCCCTACACCTCTGCTGTTCCATGTACAACACCTGATGAATTAGACGAGAAGACTAATTTGACCCTTTGATGTACATCAAATGAATCTTGATGTGACATAACAGTATATTATTCTGGCTTTGAAGTGTGGTTTAGCTCCTTTGTTATCTTGGAAGGAGCGTATCACTCTATGATTGGTCAGTGATTGTAACCCCTGGCATATCCAGTCTATGATTGGTCAGAGATTGTAACCCCTGGCGTATTCAGTCTATGATTGGTCAGAGATTGTAAACCCTGGCATATCCAGTCTATGATTGGTCAGTGATTGTAACCCCTGGCATATCCAGTCTATGATTGGTCAGAGATTGTAACCCCTGGCATATCCAGTCTATGATTGATCAGAGATTGTAAACCCTGGCATATCGATGATTGCCAAGATATTACAAAGTATAGTGTATCTTCAAACTATCATTTTATTGTGTAAAATGCCTAGATAGTGCTACACAATCTCTGGCTCAAAACACTGCAATCAGTTTATTACAGGTCAATGCACAGTTTGTTTTCATTTCTACAGCACTGAACTAGATATGGGTGGGCTTCAATACCCAATATGGACCTAATGCCAGATGAACATGGTATAAATAAATCTACCTACCAGTGCATCAGTTCAAACATATCATAAAATGTATCATGAAAACTGTAACCATGTTCTAAACATACATTACAAAAGTTTAGGTAAAACTACAGTCCAAGGTAGATAACTGTTAACAATATGCAATTTTTTCCCACAAATAGATTATTTTATAAATTCCAGTCATCAAAACAGTGCAAAATTTTTCATGAAAAAAAATAGTGTAAATAAAAACTAAATAAAACATGACGCTGCCTGAATCCTTCTTGCCTAGAAGTAAGTCCTACTTAAAGCCTTTTGATTTAAAACCTTTCCTTTTCTCTACTCGGCCCCTGTCCCTTATTTGGCTTAAAAATGCTCCACAAAGGGCAATGAAGCAATAGTTTAGGACACCTACCATCATACTCAAGGAAAGAATCATCGTCTTTCTCCTCGTCCTCTTTATCACCATCATAACCTGACAGTATAGATTCATCCATGATAGCACTCTTTTCAATAGAGGGCGTCGCTGTATTCTCACGACCCTCTACACTGGGTAACTTCCTGTTAAAGCAAAACACCGAAGTGATCAGCACATCCTTATAAAATAAAAACTTAATTTAAAGTATTACCTATGAATCTAATGAATCTATCAGTTTTTCTTTTTTCAATAATTGGTTCATAAATGGGTAAAGTTAAAAAAAAACAAAAATATAATAAAAAAAAAAAAAAACAAAAACAAAAACAAAAAACAAAAGACAAAAAACCCACCTATATATGTAAATCATCAAAATGAAAGCTAACCTTTCTTGTCGTGTACTTATTTTTGAAAATCAAATATTGTTGATTTCATTTTTAATTAATATGCCAATTTGTTCTTTAGTTGAATATCAAACATTGTAGAAACTGATTAAGAAAAAAATACATATATAGAATCACTGTGATGAAAACTTACCGATCACACCTTCGTTTCTTCCTGGAGGGGGACAAGATGAGTTGGTCATCATTTTTGAATTTTACGCAGACATCAAGTCCCTGCTGGATGTGATCTGTCACGCCCAACATTGCACACAGCTCTTCGTAACTCATAATCTGAAATCATACACCATTTCCTATAGTCTTCTGGAACTTTCCCCGATGATAGTAAATATTGTTTTCAGATTCTTGATAATTGGAACTTTACGTCCTAAAATGTTGCTATGGTAACTGGTTTATTCATTTAAGATGGAGAATTACATTTATTTACAGTACCCAAAAAGATTTCCATATGAAAATCTTACCTCCATTTCGCTGACTTCCAAAAACTTTTTGTCAGAATAACGTAGTTTTACAGCCTGAAGGGTGACGTCTCTATGGTCCACAACAGAGCCTTCTAAGAAACTGAAATGAAATAAAAAAAAGTCTGTTCCAGTCTCTAAAACTCCGAAATACATAGCTTAGCGAGTTAAATAGGATTCAACAATTCAACCTCAGATCACCAGATAGTCTTATCAATCTAAATTTACAACTTAATGAAATGTTAATGTTGAGACATTACTGAAATTAATAAAAGTTCACCTTGCCTTTATTATCAAGTGCTAGATTCCTCCTTGCATTATTTGAAATTTCACAACTTTTCACATCAAAACATGTCAAACTTTTACAGACATCAGACCTTGATAACACCAATATTCGAACTTATAGTGTAAAATTTGTGTTTCTTGTGATAAAACCAACGGGAATAACAGACACTCACCATTTCTCATGTACATGGAAAGCACATCTACTGATGTCTTCTATCGTAAAGCCGGTAAACTGAACCAAACGTTTTGGCCAAGGATCGTCTGTAAGATCAAGGAAACGAAATATGATCAATCTTGAATGGTGTTTTTTATCTTATAAGGTAACAGGTGTGTTTCTATAACAATGCCTCAGTGGTACATGTTAAAAGGGTGCTAACATTACTGACCTATCAACACAATGTTGTATTTGCTTTAACAGCTCTTGTGTTTTGTGATTATCTCCCCTTTACCAGGACAACACTACAGTTTACCTTTATTTCCATGCAAAAGTTTCTTTTCTTATTCAATGCACTATGTTTCAGAAAGGCAACATTTTTATTTTCAAACTGTTGTTGAAACTGTAAGGTTTCAATCTGTAACAAATGATTGATGGTGGAGGTTCAATTCCTGCAGCAGGCAATGATTTTTAATCAAAAGGCTTTTTTTCTTTCAAGAAAATAATTTTCTTTGAATTTTTCTTTACAAAATTGTGAGTTTCAAAATTTTCTCTGGAGTAAGTTTAATGAAGAGTACTCTCATTTTTTTGTAACCATACATATCAGATATGGTTAGTCTTTTTTCAAGTACAATCATTTTTGAGTAATTATGAGTGACAAAATTCTGATCTTAAATATCCATCAATTAATCAGACAAATACCAATGTACGAAAATTGCTACAACATGTACAAGCATTGACTTACCAAGTCGTGTGAGTATGCGTGCCAGAAGGACGGATGCTGCAGCAATCTCGGTAGGCTTATATTGGCCCATTTCTGCCTGCAGTAGACACAACTCGCAGATGTATTCTGCCAGAAATGAACTTTTCCTGTCCAATCTCGCCAACAAGGAAAACAGCTCCACGAAATCAAAGCTGTTGGCCACCCTGATTTTACCACGCAAAGTGGCTGTAATCTCGCCCATCATGCGCACCACATCTTCGTACTTGTATGTATTGTCTGTGAGCCATGCAGCCTCACGAATCGTGATAATGTCTTTACCTAAAAATCTGAAACAACCAATAAGTGCGAAATTTATTTCTGTGTTTCTTCTTGTATAGAAGGACTGCAATAACAAAGAATTTATGTAACAGACTTACTAATGTTTTCAAAACCAGACAAAAAATACTAAAAATTGATACCGTAAAAACCCATGTAATGTCCGCACTTTTTTTCAAAAATCAAAGTTACAGAGATATAGAGGAAATGAACTTTTTCCTTCCGACAATTCATATCATATCTCCTAATTGTGTTCTTAAAAGCCAAGCATACCTGATATTATCGTTCTATGGTTTTTTCTACCTCAACCAAACATGATTATTTATGATTATTTATTATAGTTTCCATGGTTAATTCCTTCCAATTTCTCGTTACAGGTTCGTATTGTGTCAAAAATTGTTTGACTTTGTCACATTAAAAATTATGGATCGTTTATCAGAAAGTCTTAATACATAGCAGGCCGGTTTAATAGATTGAAGTTGTCTTCCTCTGTCTGGTCGTTGTAATAAATGGCGTTCTCGTCGTCTGATGGTGTGTCAGTAGGGTCAGTGGCGCCGTGGGTCATGGGCGGGTCATGTTACTGTATAGTTATCGTTAATTGGCTAATCACACGCTGTCACTCACTCACACTCGAGGTGAGGAGACGACCCAAGCTGTTTATAACACTGCTGGGCTAACCCTTATCAAAACACCAATTATCGAAATGAGGACTTGTCATACTGGTAAGCTTACTGTACCATTATGGAGAATAACTTTGTTATAAACAATTAAGTGAATTCTTGAATGGTACCTGTAAGTTATACACAATGCGACATGCTCTCGGCCATTACGACATTAGCGTACGTGAAATGAAATTGGCAGCTTCAATTTGCATTTTTTACCCGCGGACATTACATGGACAGATTTTTGTGTTAAAAAAGGGGTGCGGACATTACACAGATGCGGACATTACGTGGGTTTTTACGGTAATAAGTCAAATATGTATACAATGAACCGTGCGAGACAAAAATTAATTAAAAAATGCCATAAGATTGACCAGTCTGTCAGTAAAAACATTTACCTAGAACAAAGGACCATTGCTGCAACCCCCAGGAGCTGTAATTTGGAGCGTGTTGTCTTATGAACCTTGAGATATCTGTCTACTACACTAACAGCCACATGGAGAGTTTGACTAGAGAAGTCTTTCATTCCAGCCACTTCCACCAGCCAGTCTACGAGGATGTAACGCATCGATGGTGTCAACTCATGTGAAGTTTTGAAGCAACTCTGAACGTTAATAGGCGTGACAGAACGAACAAATTCACGAACTGTCAATGCTGCTTGGTCGAGACTAACACCACAATATATTTCCTTGGCATAAAATTTACACAAGCTTAGTTGTGCTTCCATATTCCCCAGTTTGGCAACTTGTCGCAGCTGTCGTATACTTTCTAGTCTTGATGCACGGTCACACACGCGATCCTGCCAGCACTGTTGCCAGTGTAGATAAGCCCCGAGCCCAGACTGATGTTGTGCAGCCTGCTGGAGATACAGCTGAGCCTCTGTACTGCCATCCTCTTCCAGTAGAGAGACAGTTTTAGCTACACAAACCTGTATATCTCCATTGTCAGGATGCTGTCGAATAAAGACAACAGTATAGATAAAATACATAAATACTAAATAAATACTAAGTATCAATTAAAAATAAATTACTACAATTAAAGAATTTTTCAAAACATTGAATTATGTTGAGCTTTATTCTTTTTTTTTTCTTTGTTGCAGGGTTAGATTTTTAAAATGTTGTTTTCACATCGTTGTCTAAAATCCTTGTCTCAGAAACCTTAAGAACAAGTCTGATTGCTGAGAAATACATATTCTTGTGAGAGACATTCCCAGCAGATCAGAATTTTATGTAGACACATTGACAACTTACCTCTTCTACAAATTTCTTCATATGTGTAAACACTGTCTCCTTGCAGCAGGCACCGTTGATTGACCAAGGAGGACGGATAAAAAGCCAGGAAAATGGGTCTGTTCCTGGTGTGAGACTCTCGATCTTACAGAACATGTCTGCCGCCTTCTCACCATTGCTTGTTACATGACACTCATCCTCAGGCACTGCAAAGAGCAGATTAATCATTAACATCAAATATTTTGGTCAAAAACAGGCAGTTTCTTCAGGACAATAATACTTTTCTTTTCCCAAAACTAAAAACAATTATACAGAAAATATTTCTCCATTTTCCTCATTCTTAGTAAAATCATGCTAGAGCAGTTAAAATGGTGGAAACAAATATAAACATTGTTACAACTTACATCCTTCATTGTAGAGGTAGGCGATAGCTAGCTTGATGAGAGCTTCTATATTTCCAAAGTTTGCAGCTCTGAAACAGATGAAAAAAAGGGAAACTGTTATTAAATCAGTTCTCAATCAAACATGTACAAAACAATGCATAAAAATTTACCATTGTCACTGATAGGACTTCTGTTTTCTCTGTTGACAAGAAACTCGTCAAATGAATTGAGAGAATCTACGCAATTTGTCATTCTTACCGTTCAAAATGTCCAAGATTATTACACATTGGCCAGTTGTCTTGGAAACTTGCCATTGCCCATATTGGCGAGTTATCGTCTATCATGTCTCGAAAGTAGGGGTGTACCTAGAAATGGAAATGTATTAACGGTTCGTTTACATCAAAGTCATGTCTAACAGGGACTAAAATATCTTCCTCCATTACACCCAGGTAAATAACTCCCGGCCCATTTAAGTTTCATTATATTCAACCAAGATTCACAGTGTGTACATGTTCATATAAATTTATCTGGTAGTAGCCACAGGTTAGTTTATTCTCCTGTACTTAACCAACCCTGACTTCAAGTAGGAAATGAATTATTGGCCCCCTGGGCTCAATTCAGGTTAAATATTATATAAAAACAAAACTGACATATTTTTGACACTTCATGTGAACAGTGGAAAATATTTTGACAAGGCTTAGCAAATTTTATCCATAATCATTCTTCTGATAAATATAATGAATTTTTTAGACTCAACTTCCCAGGAAAAAACTAAAAGTAAAAATTCCAACAATGTACTTTAAAAACAACACCAAGTAAAGAAGAATATCTCCATGAATTCCCATAACAACACATACATTCAAGGGCCCTAGCTCTACCTTGTGTTTCTCAGTCAAATACATGGCAAATATTTATTGAAAGCAAAGAAGAGCTGGTAGGATATATGTACTTAACATGAGTGTTATAGGTACATTTTCAGCTTCATTTCAATTAAAACTCTTGATTTACAAGTAGCAATAAAGAATTCCTTCTCTCCAGAAACAGCTGTCATACGTACCATTTTCATGTTGAGAATATCCCTAATGTGAAGGCCTTTGAGAATATAGAGGAGGACTTCCTCTGGAATGTGCCATATTGTCAGTTGGTTGTGTTTTCTAGGACGGAGCTGCATATGCATGTGGACAGGTATAAAGGTGTTGGGTGACTTTTGGAATTTACTGAGGGCAGATAGCACTGTAAGAAAAGAAAACAAAGTTACTGGATGTATAAACGTTCTGCAAAAAAAACAAGTTATTGGAGACAGAGAGTACTTAAGACATAATGAGCAGAAATGGTATTTAAGACATAACAGGGAGCCAAAACTGATCCGATCATGGTCCAATCACTAGACAACTATAAAACTACAGGAGCTCAAACTTATCACATTCTTCTCCCATAATTCACAAGTTAGTTCCACTTTTCAGTAGGGAAACAACTAATATATGCTTCAATGATATGCACCATGAGTTGATGTCACCATTTTAACAGGTGTAACAATATCATGTTGCCAATTGACCACATCACTCATTTAATAAAGAATTCGTGAAATATTTCAATTTACGACTTACAATTTGTTTCGAATCCCATTCACTTCATTATCAACTTTTATCAGGACAAATTACTTTTCGTGACAATGACAATTTTTCAAATTTGCATTCAAAGTTAAATATGTACCCCAGATTACTAACAATTCTAATAAGCTGATTTGCCAATAAAACTAGCAGCACTTTACAAATGACTGTCCCATGTTACAAATGATATGTGATTCACATTACATTTATATCCGATACAGTTCCAAATTCCAAATATCAAAGAACTGGGGAAAAAATCAATGTTATTTTAGATTGAGAAATTTTCAGTCTTGTTATTTCTATACATTGTGGAAATAAGAAAATGAAATGACATGCAGAATTTTTCATATCAACTCATGGATATTTGAATTTAGGTACAAGTAACCTTATTTCAATCTCAATTTTAAAGACATGTGCTTCAAAACAAAAATATAGTATCTACCAGTAACAAATTTGTGAAGAGAAATAAATAATACACAATGAAAGTACCATTTAGAAATTTTAACAAACTTGTTAACATAACACACAAGAAACACATGTTATCATTTTGAAAGTCACAAGCAACACCGGTCTCTGACAGCTGTCTAAACATGTTGGTTTGATATTCACAACAATATGTCATAACTGCTTTAAATTTACTCCAAGATCGGTAATTCCAGTGGCATTTTGTTTTTAGAAAAGTTATACTTACGAAAAGAAACAAAACTCATGATTTCCTAAATATCTTCCGTGTTTCCATGAATTATTCTCGGGTAGAATGAAGAAATGTCAAACTGCTTACATTCCGACTCCGCTTCGATACAACATATGCTTATGCTATTTTTAGTATCCACAAGGGCATTCCCGATAACGATTGGTTCAAAATGTAAACAAGCGTCTACATGTCAAAGCAATGAACCAATCAAATCCAATGTCTAAAACATGTTTGTGGAATGTCTGCTAACATGTTAATTTAATTTATGAATTACATGTCTGAACACATATGCCTATGATTGAAAGCATTGTTATCGTGCTACGCATATAGATCAATATGCACTATCTATAAGGCTAATGGATTTTTGTTCGAGTAGAGCAACAGGTAATGTCAAGTATCGGGGATTCCCCAATTCAGCTTTCTCTAGTGTTGGTATTTCAAAATTGTTGGCCGTTGAAAACCGTTTCTAAACATTTAACAAACAACAAAGACATATATTTAATAATGTGTTTCGTTAGATAACAATATAACTCCAAAATATCATGATAATAGTATCCTCACTGTCGCAAAAGCGCTGGCCAGCCGTTTGGCCGGTGTTGGTTCAAAAATCGAAACATAATTTTCAAACCGACCATGTTATGTCGAGGTAATTTGAAAAATATAGAACAAAAATAATAATTCATAAACAACACATGGTTTGCATTTAATTTCCTTTTGATTTTAATTTAATTAACCCCATGTTATATATCATGAAATCAACCGATATTATTTACGATAATCAGTTTGAGGGCGGGACAACGCTGAGGGTGTCGCGTAAAGTCATAATAAAACCCCGTCATATTGCACATTAACTCTAAATATCGACCTATGTGGAAAATATCCATACCATAACTATTTCTCCATATGAGAGAGTACACTTGGGGGGAAAATAGGTTTGAACATCTTTCAATTTTCAAGTCTTCGAATCAACCGCCTCCCATCATCATTGCTCGAAACCGTTAGGCCTAGATTCATCGCAGGTTATCACAACAAATTCTGAACTACCATACACGTAACACCATGATCAGCAGTATTCTGTCCAAAAATAAATACATACCTTTCATTTCTGTTCGTCAGTTGTTTTTGAAACTTATTAAGTCATTTATGAAAGCGATTTTGACAACAGCAACCGGCCTGCGTACTGCACTCCAATGTTGTGGAGTCTACTGAACCATGCTGGTAAGCTTCGCGCTGATTGGCCAATTTACTCGTCGTTTGTAAACGATAGGAAGTGAGTTACCTTATCTTGCCATTGATAACGGTCTCGGCGCAAATAACAACAGTCTCCTTGAGCTGTCAGTCAGCGATGAAACAGTCACTTGGTGACATCTAAGTATCTGGTAAAAGAAAATATAATTTACTTTCTATAAGATTTTAATCTGTTTTTTGTTTGGGTAGGTTATTTACGACCGGGGACGTAGGAGTCAGTAAGGGACGTGTAAAACAGTATTCTAATACTTCAGTTATGTGTCCCTGGAGTCAGTTGATATTCATAGGAACATAAGGTAATTTTGATTTTATGATAATAATCAGAAATTATGTTAACTATATAGCGAAAATATTGTTTAGACAACTGTAATTAATAGATAAACAAAAGAAAAAAAAACCAAAAAAAAACCCCGATAACTCGATAACTCAAATAATTGTGAAAGGATATCCTACATAGGGATTTTAACACGAAGAATCCTGAATTTTACGGATAGCTTTTAAATATTTTAACAAATTATTGTATTATTTACGGAATACACGTGTATAATATTTTCAATTATTATAAAATATGCACCTTGTGACGACATGAAAACAGCTATAATTAAATGACTGTAACATGTAGGCATTTATTGTGACGTCACCATAGAAACAACATAGAAAAAAAACTAAATTAATGAAATAATGTTATATAAAGAATGTGCCAGACTTTTCCCTAATGTTTTCGGTGTATGATTCTGTCGTCGTTAAATATATTTAAATAATTGATAAGATGATACTGGTGCGTGTGTATCTACCATACGTTCCTGGAGGATATGAAAATTAAATTAAACCGGTTTGTGTTCGTTATAGAATATATTAATTATATAATTATTAGCTCTAATCTTAACACATTTTATAATAAATGTTTAACAAAACATCACATGCCTCTGTTTGTGTTTACCTTGGTAGATATCTTTGATCCCATTACCAACTGGTCTTTTGGGCTGGCTAATAGCACCAGTAATTAAGACCTAGTGCTGACCATCTTGAATGTAAATCAATGATCCGGAACAAGTCTAAAGAAATATAAACTTGCTTCAACAGATTTCTGTCTCTGTTAGGTATTTGTGTGTGTGCCTTTTTTTTTATCCAGAAATGTACAATGAAATGTGGTAAATCCTGATTGGAGAGCTCCAGGATCAGGTATATTAATGTAAACAAATTGATAAACATTGTTTTAAGTTTCTAAATGATCAATTTATAAATTAAATCGGTCAATGTCGGGATACTAGTAGCTTTTATGTTGCCCTAGTAACCTCATCGACGTTGACTAAAACGACAGAGGAAAGTTTCGTGGGTTTCCGACGATTGGTAATTTAAGCCAAGAACATACAGTTTGATACGTATTGTTATCAGTGTCTAAACTACATCTTTGAAATATAGAAATTAAAATAAAGTTCTTGATTTACATCTCCAAAGCTTTCCATTCAACAAGTTGGTGTTTTTTTTATTATTCTTATTGGCTGTTGTTTTCGTCTAGGATTTACCGTTCATGAAGTATTGGAGTGGTCAGTTAAGATCGGTATCATACATGTAATTAAATTGCATTGTTACGATTCTTTTTATCTTACAGCACGTTGTGCTTAATTGGATAAATACTTCCAAACATTCGCTATAGCGATGTTAACTGATATGGAGCTAATTGTAGTATCGTTAGATCTGTTCAGAAGTTGATAAAACTAAAAGCGTTTCAATACACTTGTTCTGAACTGTTTGTCGTTAGCACTGAATTGATATAAAATCTATGCTATCTCTTTTTCTCTTTTCTTTCTATCTTTCTATCTATGATTTAAACTAACAATTGTACGTCTACGAATTACATATTTTCATGTTTATAGTATGTGTCACGTGCAGTATATGTCAATTATTTGTAATTTTATTAATGGAGAAGAGTTAAAAAAATGTTAGAACTTGTCTCTGAGCCATTTATCTGCTACTGATAATAAAATGTTTACATCACTCCAAAAGCATTTAAATGTCAGAAAAAAGCTTCGTTCAGCATATATAGATACGTTATATGTATTTTACTCACCATTTCATGAAACTACTCCTAATATAGTTTATATTCAATTCGGAAACGGATGAGGAGCGGGGCCGACATTTGCTCGCACATATGTTTTTTGTATCTAACATAAACATTTTGTATTTAAATCAAGTGAAGAGTTCAATTTCTGATACAGACACATGATATACGTACAGAAATTTTGTTTACAAAAGTTGTTTACAAATCCCCTTTTTTCGTTAGTTAAAACTGTTTTCCAAATTTTCGTTAAAATTCAATGACAAGATAATGATGATTCTCATTGTTTGTACAACTAGTGAACAATGCATTTAGCGTTTGTATTCGACTTCACTTCCCAAATGACAAAGATAATAGAAGGGATATTGCTCTTTTATCAAAGTCCGGTGGATATCTAAGTCGGTGGATATCTAAGTCGGTGGATATCGAAGTCGGTGGATATCTATATACAGTGGATATCAAAGTCGGTTGATATCTACGTCAGTGGATATCTAAGTTGGTTAATATCTAAGTCGGTGGATATCCAAGTCAATGGATATCTATATCCAGTGGATATCTAAGTCCGGTGGATATCTAAGCCAGTGGATATTTAAGTCGGTGGATATTAAAGTCGGAGGATATCTAAGTCGGTGGATATTTAAGTCGGTGGATATCTAAGTCGGAGGATATCTAAGTCAGTGGATATCTAATCCATGGATGTCTAAGTACGTGGATATCTAAATCGGTGGATATCTAAGTCGGAAGATATTTAAGACGGTGGATATCTACGTCTGTGGATATCTAAGTCAGTGGATATCTAAGACAGTGGATATCTAAGACAGTGGATATCTAAATCAGTGGATATCTACGTCAGTATAATACAACATGACTGTGTGGAACAACTTGTATTTCGTGTTTACTTTTGATAAAAAAAATGTCTTTTACTCTAATATAACGAATTTTGAATTGATTTCTCTTGAACCCGGAAGATAGGATCTATTTGGCATTAGGATAACGACACAAACAAAATCTTAAAAAACCAAATATCTATATATGACATACTTATGTACAATAACTGTTTCTATATGGCGAAAGGTAAACCAGATTCTGTGAGATTTAAGCATATATTCAATACAATATAATGCATTGCAATACAATTTATTAAAGTTTCACAAATCACATTATAAAGTAATCAAAAAGCTGTTACATTGACAGAAATGAAAGTGATATCCTGTCTATATCGGGTTATGAGACGCTATTTCAGTTACAGATATGGCTTGTGAAATAATTTTGTATTAAGTCGGAAGATCAGGACACCAACAATTAATTCAATTCATCCATTTGTTGTTAATTAGAAATTAGTTGGTCATGGACCTTAGTCGTCCTGTCCACGTCGTTGGTCACACCTGACTGACCACTCAAGGCCGACACGTGTTAATACGTTGGTGACGTGCCACTGACGAGGCGCCCCGAGGTTAGAATGGCGATAACGGACAACCCATATACCGCCCCAGGTGGTAACAGACAACATGTGAATAACAAACAGGTAACGACCAGTCTGGACACGTGGTGGTCAATAACTGGTCATTGTTAACAAACTGACATTAGTCAATACTGATCAATCAATAATGCAGATCGATGTTTTATCAGTGTTTTCACGATGTAGCGCCCCGACAACTTGCCAGTTTGACAGGTGTGACCAGACTTAGGATTAGGTGCTTATCAAAACAGGTGTATAAACGTCATGTCCTTATATCAAAGCAACTGGGCTCCTCCCCTCCTCTAAAAAAAAGGAGGGTAGGGATAGGAGTTTCACCTAGAACAATGTTAAATTAGTTAAACTTAAAAAAAAAATGCTTCAGACATTTTTTTTAAAACAAAAATTTCATACTTGCAATTGTCACCTAGGATGTTAAAACGGAATAGGCAGACAATAATTAAAAAGATCGAGTGACCAGCCTTGATTCTAGGTGTTAAAATCCCGAGATAACGGCATTTCTGAAGTGGTAGAGGGGCGTTGTCTTTCAATAGGTGTTTGGCAATCAGTTACCTAAGGGACTTATAATTTGACGGTTTCCGTTTGATCTACAAATAGTCCTCCCATTAGTCCCGGAACAAGGACGTTGTCGGTTTACAACTAAGCCTGTCAATCAATATTCTAAGGTGTCTCAACATACATTGTATGAATCCCCCGTGGCATTAAATTCTGGAGTACAATCTTGATACATACACTCCGACCATTCCGAGAGATGATGAATCTTAATGTTATGTAATGTAACCAATAAAATATAAGCCACCCCCTCCATCTTTTTTTTTCACCCTTTCTTGGCAATTTCCTCCTGTTTAAGGTGACTGTTTCAGTCACCGTTTACAGGGCCACCAATGGTTTCTGGATAGGATAGCCATCCGATTCTTTTCATAAGGGAGAAGTTTTATCTGCAGTCAAAGAAACTTTTTAATTATTTTGTTACTTTTAATGAGTGTATAATATATGTATATAGGTTGACTTTTTATGTTTTTTTTTTCCTTAAAATCCAAGTCTGATTTATACCCATTTAGTCTACATACACACTGGTCCCAACACACCTTTGCTGTTGCCTTAAAAAAATAACACTTATATCTACATTCTTTAGGACGGTATCTTTATTTCATATTTTTATCTTTTAAATGATATGTAAAATTTACAAGAGTAGTAATAATATTTGTACACATTTACAAAGAAATTTCATCAACATTGATTACACAATTGTTCCTAGGCATCGCCGGACACCCTCTTCTCAGCATCATATTTACATAGTACTTTTTAATGTAAAATCAAGCCAAATGCAAGCCAACAGGACAAGATTTTGGCCTGTATATGTTTATCACAGATATATGTGTGTAGCCTTTCTTCTGTGAAGGAGCTGTATCCTCATGTCACAAGACAGAACTCAGTAATTCTAAACCCTACCAGTTATTACAAAATAATCCTATCATATAATTACTTGTACAGAACTATAAAATTAAATTATCGATGGTGGGGATTTATGAAAACATCTTGACTTTGTTTTGATCGCTACAGGAATAGACAGTTACTAATTTTTAAAAGACATTTTCTTTCCGCAGATGTCGCTGTTTTATCAAGATATAAACAGAATTGACAACTTCATATGTGAATGTACGCAAGATTGAAAACTTTCAACAAGAGTAAATATTCTAGTGACAGAGTGGAATGTGACATGAAAGACTTTTTTTTGGTGAATATTCAGGACAACAATCAGATCATTGACCAAGAAACACTCCAGGCTTTTAACCTTCATTGCTCTCAGCACGTGCACTGAGGGCCAAGGACACGCGCCGCATGGCAGGTTGTACGTGAGGGAACTCTTGGTTAAGTCTGTCTACGATGGCGCTGAGAGCTTGCATACGGTCCACCTGCTTCGTACTTTCATTTTCTAGTGAAGACTCCGATTTACACAGCATAGTGTACTTTCCATCTTTAGCCTGTTGGAAGTACTTTGTTTTCTGTTGTTTTTCTAGAATTTCTGTCATGTTCTGTAATTTAAAAAAAGAGGTATGTTAAACAGACTTAAAACAGGAAAAGGTACCTATAATGGAACATTAATAATCTAAATGTGTTGCTACTCACTTGTTCACACTACCACAATATTTATCCTGAAATAAGACCATGTCTGGTAATAAGCCCATCCATACTTAGTGCTGTTCAAATGAATTACCAACAAATTATATTTTATTTTCTCCTAATAAGCCCATCCCTTGAGTGTTTTGGTCCCCTGGGCTTATTGACGGTTAAACAAAGACACCATTTAAGATCCTGGGCCTGTTCTATCTAGACAATATGTTGTTATGTGAAGATGAAAATTACACCAGAAAAGTTTACTGTTTCTGTTTCTGTGAAGTTTCAGTTTTCAATTTTACTGAGTTGAAATACTGACCTTCTGCTTGACCTCTAGAAGTCGTTCTATATCACCATCCATGGTGTCAGAATTACTTTGTAGATGTTGGACAGTAACTTGGTTCTGTTCCAGCTGGCTACTCAGTTCCTGCTGGTGGTCCCGTAACTCCTGTATCTCACTGTCACATGAGTTAGCCTCCTGAAAAAAAAATAGCAAATCACAAACTGATTTTCTTGCAAAAACTAGATACCACACTGTAGGTAACACTTCAGAAAAGTGTGTAAAGTTCTGTAATAGCAAAACATACACCAGCCTGATATTTGTACAAATTTGATTGAGGTATTCAGTTGTGTGTTCATGAAGTTAGTGTAATGGCTGTTTGTTTCCATAGTAACAGAAAACATTAAAATTGAGATATTGCCAATCACAAAGCATGGCAGAAAATAAGTCAGATAAGCACAGTCTAAATAAGATGATGAAATGTTGTCAGTGGAAGAGCAGACACAAATTTCTAACTGGTTGTGCCACAGGAAGCACTTACTTATCAAACATTTCATACTGTAAAATATTATATATTTGTGGGACTGAATTTTCGTGGTTTTCCAAAAAGTTAATTTTTCATTGACGTCTGATTTTGTGGATACATGAAGCTCAATAAATCTACTTATACCTATTTTGAGGATTTGAGGATAATAGTACCCACAAAATCCATGAGTATAAATTCCACCAAGAGAATCAATTATTTTACACACAGTTCTACACACCAGAAAACTTTCAACTGTTTTGTTTGTTTCACACTTTTGCCATGAGAAAAAAATAAATATTTTATGTAAAATGTAACATTTTTATGTATTTTTAGGCAAAGACAACACAGGTCTTTTAAATGAGGAGCTTCATGGGTTGGTGGAAAAAAAATCTAGGCAAATGTTGCATGTGGAAACACTTATATTGTACCTGAATTGTATGTTTAATTTTCTTTCTTAGTTCAGCCATTTGTCTTTCAAATGTTCCTTTAGTAAGAACATTCTTGTTTGTCTTCTGCTGGGCGTCTCCCCGTGTGACAATAGTGTCTCTCCTGTAAACATTAATTTGTAGTGATTAATTTATCATGTCACCATCTTTGGAAAGTCAATTTCGCATCAGTGAAATTTTTTTATAATTCTTGACATTGGTGTGAAAAAATTTTCATCATCTGGGGGGTTCTCTGCTAAATCACTGTGATTTGTTGTGCATAAAGTTTGTTGTATCATAAAGAATTATTATTTGGTCCTTCTGATTCCATAGATGAATAATTTTCACAAAACTCACCTATATGCTATTAAAAATGCATATGAGTTCTTAATTGTTTGTCATTTCAAGGCCATATGAATGCATGGATAACACCTTCTCACAAAATCCCCCAAAAATAGTAACCCATGAAAATTAATTATTTAACAGTATGTAATAAAAGGATTACCGTGACACTGCTTTCTCCATCTCCTGTATCATCTTCTCTTGTTGTTTCATCAGCTGTGTGTGGCGAACTGTCATTCGGTGTATCTCTGCGTTCATAGCCTTAATCTCGCCCTGTCCCACCTCGGAGTCCACAGCCGCTCGGGTCTCGCGCGCCAACTGGGTTTTCTTCTCCCAAAGCATTATCTGGCGTCTGCAGGGGAGATAATTCATCAGGAGGTAAAATAAAAAATTCATCACAGATCACATTATTTCCAACATATGTTGAAAAACAGAAAAAAAGAATAATAACCATTACTAATCTTATTGTTTGATCATGAAGTAATTGGTATGTACTACAAATTGAAAGGTGTTTACCTTCAATCAGGAAATGTTTGCGATGAGTTATTTTTGTGAATTTAATAACACATTTTGTCCTTCTGTTATTAAATCCTACAAATTTCATGAATCTGTGATTTGCAATTCATCAAATCGAAAAGATATTGTATCTTTTCACATTTCATTTTTGTCAATTTATGCCATTCGCAAACCTGCTTAAATAAATTGACACTAAAAGTTTCCCATTTCACAGTACAATGACAACGAGCTTCAACATGGAAACCACTATTATGACATTTTCACTGTAATGTACAGTAATACTTAATTAATATCCCACTTTGCTGATCAGTAGAACTACAACAACTGCCCTGCAATAAGCCCACACTCCAAATCTATGTATTTGTAAAAAATTTAATTTGGGCTTATTGTGGGATAAATACAATAAGGATACATACTCTGCTTCTACAAGGCTGTTGAGAAGTCGTTCTTTCTCCTCCTTGATGGAGTCCAAATTGGCTTGTTTCTCAATAGAGTCGAGCTCTGCCTCCTGTAAGTAGCAAAACAACAATCAGAATAATTTAACACAGGAACATCAATTAATCAGCATTTACTTTTAAAACCATATAAATGGTGGAACATCCTCAGAATTAAAATTGAATATTACAGCAGCTTGAGTAAACGAAATAACATATGAGGAAACATGTTATCAGATCACAAAATATAGGTGTTTTTTATTTACATATTTATTTTTTGATATACTGAAAAGAAAGTTATTTTGGGAGAGTTTTGTTTCACCACTTTTGAAGACAGAATAAAATTGGAAAAAACTGATACAAATCGACATACTTTGAAAATAAAGTTAGTACTGTACTTATGATAGAGAAAAGCACAGCCTGTTTCGTTAGTTCTGTGAAAAATGAATCCATTCTGCTTTGAACTTTTGATAAATCTGTGAAAATCTGATTGATTGATAAAAGAAAAAAATTCACAGAAATTATGACAATTAATTAACCCATAGTGTTAGGACTGATAAAAGATGAACAGTAAGTCAGACTTGTTTGTCCTACCTTGAGGGCCCTGATGAAGTCCTGTTCTAGCAGGATATTATCCTGTTGTAGATTGGTTTGAATATTGGTCTCCTTATGAAGGAGCTGGTTCAGTTTTAACATGTCATTTTGCATGTTGGTGATGTTACGTTCGATATCATATGTCTCCCGTCGTTCCTCGTCTATGTTTCCTGTGTAAGTAAAAACAAGTTTTATTAATCCTCGGCCTTAATGTTTACAAATGTCTCTGTCATTCTTCTACTTTTCTTTGTCTTAGGATAAGAAACAATTTTGGAAATGTTGTGACTTTACAGTATGTAAATCTCACCTTGTGTACGGATCTTTTTCTGTGAAAGGATCGTGAGCTGTTTTTTCAGTTTCTCAACAGATTCTGATTGGCTGTCCTTCTCCTTGGTCAGATGGACTAGTTCTGTTTGCTGACGGAGCCAAAGCTGCTGAAGTTCAGCAATCTCCTGGAGACGAGCTTCTATGGATTTCTGCAGGGAATTGATGTTGATTTCCAATGGTCCAAGCTCCACACCCTAAAACAGTAGAAATTAGATACATTATATATTATATAATGTATGGTGTCTCACCTGTGTACATTGTGTAGTGTTTCACCTGTATACATTGTGTAGTGTTTCACCTGTATATATTGTACTGTGTCTCACCTGTATATATTGTATTGTATCTCATCTGTATATATTGTATGGTGTCTCACCTGTATATATTGTATGGTGTCTCACCTGTATATATTGTATTGTGTCTCACCAGTATATATTGTATATATTGTATTGTATCTCATCTGTATATATTGTATGGTGTCTCACCTGTATATATTGTATGGTGTCTCACCTGTATATATTGTATTGTGTCTCATTTGTATATATTGTATGGTGTCTCACCTGTATATATTGTATGTTGTCTCACCTGTATATATTGTATCTTGTCTCACCTGTATATATTGTATGGTATCTCGCCTGTAGATATTATATGGCGTCTTGCCTCTATATATCATTATGGTGTCTCCCTCTATATATCATTATGGTGTCTCGTCTCTATATATCATTATGGCGTCTTGCCTCTATATATCATTATAGCGTCTCCTGCCTCTATATATCATTATGGTGTCTCCCTCTATATATCATTATGGCATCTCGCCTCTATATATCATTTTGGTGTCTCGCCTCTATATATCATTATGATGTCTTGCCTTTATATTTTATATTTTGTTTCAACATTCTATACCATACTCACCCCTGCATTGCTGATGAGCACCTCCAGTTTTTTATTGTACTGATCTATGATATTCTGCTTCCTCTCAATGATTGCATTCCGTTTGACGATCTCAGCTTCGCTTCTGTTAATGATGTCATTCTTAGCACCAATTTCTTGATCCAAACCTCTCATAATTTTATCCAGTCGTTCAATTCTTGTCTGAACATTGGAAATCTCTAGTGATTCTGATGAAATAGTGTTCTCAACTTCTGCCATTTGTGTCTCCTACAAAAGAATTGAGGTTGCCGTTGGAACTTCATTGATTGTTGTTATTTTTAGAAAATAATCGCCAGGAATATCAAAATAGCAATATTCTTGATTCTTGTCTGATCCTACTTTTCTCTGTAGATGAATTAAGTTAAAAAAAAAAACAAACTGTTTATTTGGACTTTTCTTTAAAAGAGCTTCGAAAAAATAACTTTTAAATTAAATTAGAAAATATTTCTAAGGACATATGGCCCTGCTTTGATGAAAAAAGAGCTAACCAATCAGTGAAGTGGAAAAATACAATAACATGCGAGACCTTTTGGTGCAAAATGCCTTAGAAATGAAATTTGGTAAATATGAGACTTTGGGGCTTTTCTTGTTTATCAGTTTGACCAGGGTGGTTTATTTGTGAAATGAGGACAGGCCTACTGATAGGATTTTGCTTTTCAATGAGCCCTGACTTTGCCTTTTGAGGTCTTTATTGCAGGTCCATTCACATTTATGCATGCAATGTAACATCTGGGGTGCTGATAAACCAGTTTGTCCACATAAATGAACAGGTCCTTGGTATCAGAGAAATGGAGCTCATTATAACATAATACAGACAAACATCACACTAAATAGTGCCTTACTTGGAAATATGATCCACAAGCTTACTTACCAGCTGTTTGGTGAGCTCCCGTTTTTTGGCAGTGAGTTTGCGAGTGTACTGAGAGGCTTTGTCCATGGTCAACTGACTTCTCATCTTTTCCATAATAGCATCTTCCAACTGAACTTTCTCCAGGTATTCACGCTCAATTTGCTTCCTCAAGGCGTTTAACTCATTCATACGCAACGTCTTATCCTGAAGTGAAAATATGAAATATGCAAACTTTGGTAAAGTTTTTGTAAAATTATTGATTTACATTGGTTGATTTCGTAGATGTACATGGATTACTTAAAATAGAAATTATTTTAACTTATTATTTCACAGTAAATTTCTTAGAGTATAATGTATTCATAAAATTATTGAAATAAGAAATATCATTTTTGGAGAAACTGAAATTGGAGCCCCACTAAACTATGGCATACAACAGTAATGAAAAGTAGAATAAGAAGAGCGCTGTCAGAATGTTTTCTTACTGTAACGGCACGGTTAAGTGCCTGCTCCGTCTCATGTAACATCCTGGTATAGGTTGCATATTCTGCTTTCAAAGCATCATGCTTTGCTTGAGATTGACTGAGCATTTTTCTCACAGTTTCAATGTCACGCTCAGTCTTGTTTAAAATCAATGTCAGTTTTTCGTTTTGTTCTTGTTCCTTGAAAATGGACTTTTTATATCCTTCAATTTCAGTTTCAAGGGATAATACTTTCTGTTGTTGTTGTCTGAAATAAGAAAATAGGGAAAATCACACATTGGTAAATCACACAGGACATGATACTCTATAATCTAGACTTATAAATCACAGATATATTTATCGATCTCGCTAAAGATGTTAAAATTTTACTTATTACGAAATCATAAATTCAGAGATATTAGTTTTTATTCAGAGAAAAATTTTCTTAAAATCAATTGTATTTTCAAGAAACTTCATAATTTTTCCTTGAACTTATCATCTGGATATTAGTAAAAATTTCATGCCCTTTCTTTGGAAAGTACAAAAAAAGACTATTGTTCCTGAACTACTCATACATAAGTTTGGTATTGGTATTGTTTATCTGTAATTCAATGCTATTCACAATAATATCTGTGACCTTCAAAATTGGTAAAGGTCAAATTTCTTAAAAAAAAAACAACAAACAAACAGGTTGAATATTATTTCGTACTCTAAAGCTTCTTGCATGGCTGAATGAGCTTCGTCTCGCCGCCTCATTCCAATCAGAGAACTGTTCCACTGCTGGAAAAGTTGCTTCTTCTCAAGGCCAATTGCCTGTAAACAAAAATATGTAAAGTGACAAATGTCCGTTAATATCATAAATAGACAAATGTCTGTAAACATCAAAGTAAAGTGACATGTCAAATGTCAAAGTGAAAATGTCATCAAAGTGACAAATGTCTGTAAACATCATAAAGTGACAAATGTCTGTAAACATCATAAAGTGACAAATGTCTGTAAACATCAAAGTGACAAATGTCTGTAAACATCATAAAGTGACAAATGTCTGTAAACATCATAAAGTGACAAATGTCTGTAAACATCAAAGTGACAAATGTCTGTAAACATCAAAGTGACAAATGTCTGTAAACATCATAAAATGACAAATGTCTGTAAACATTATAAGGTGACTTTAAGTAAAAAGATGTCTGTTGAATCTTGTTGTAGTCCAATGTTAGTTGTTTATAGATATTTATGTACACTGTTCATTCATAATGAAATGATTTAACAGTTAGTCAAAACCAGATATGGCTTTTGAAATGGTTCTGGGGTGTAGATAACACATGTGAATGAACAGTCTCATTTCACATCCATTATCACTATTTAATGAAAACACAGGAATTATTTGATGATACCAACCTCAATTTCCATGTGAGCTTCAGTGAGTGCCTCCTTGGCGGCTAAAGTTTCCTCTGTCTGTGCTGTGATCTGTGCCTCATACATAGCGATTTCCTCCTTCAACTTGTCAACTCTTTCCACAAGGCGATCAACAAACAGATCCTGTAAAAACAGTTGATAATGTCGTCAAACTTGTATTCTAGTTTCACAACAACAAATGACCATTTTAGTATACCAAAAAAAAAACATCTACCGGTATGTAATTGATGCTTCAGGTCAGTTTAAGTCCTCAAATATCATTCATGATAAAAAACTGCTCTTGTTCAAAAGTTTCTCTTGAAACAGTCTAGTGGATGCCTCTAGTGAAGGATATAAATAATTTCAAAATACAATGTAATCCAATAACAATGGCACACAGTTAACAATACTTTTGAATAACTCTTTAATATTGAGAGATGATATTTATCCAATTAAATTTTTCTCAAATAGATTTTTTTGTACCTGTTTTTGTTTTTCGATTTCCGATTTTGACACTTCAGTTTCAGCTTTCTCAGCAGCCCTCCTCATTATGGCTATATCTGACCTCACATCTTCCTTTGCATTTTGCATGTAGAACAGACGAAGGGCAAGATTCTCAACCTCGCTCTGGAGCTCAGAGTCTGATGAGAAGAGAAATGATAGATGTATAATGGTACATGTACAGCAGCAACAAATATTGTCATATCAATCTCATTAGTAAGTATCAAACTCCATAAGTAACTTCCTAAACACTTGTTTCAAAATTATTATAAAAGAAAAAAAACAAAAATTCATACTCCAGAAATCTTTTTACTATGAATATCTTCATTGTCACCTCAGAAAAAAGTATCCTTTTATTTGGACAAAAGGATTTTTTGGTCTTACAAATATTTGTGACTTTGAGATAATTTGATATTAATTATCAAGTCCAGACTATAAGTAACGAGTGATTGAACATTTGTGTGTATTACAAAACTGACTAATGTACTGAAAGGCATGTTGTCTGACCACTAGGTTGATTCATGTCTAAAGGGTATGATGTTACTGGGAAGGGTTAAAGATGTACTTCAGTAGCAATGTTAAGCGACTTTGTTTCCATGGTAGAAGGGAGATAATAGTAAACCATATCAATTTAGTCAGCCTGAAAAAACTTGTTTTGTGCAAATTTTGATGAAACTTTCACGTAAAATTTCAAAACAATTTTAATGATACTTCCAATGATGTGTATGAAGCCAAAATCAGTCAGATCAATGAAATTAACAGATGGATGTATACTATCTTGACGTAGAACTTTAGTGAAAGTAAATATACTATAATCAGCGTTAATATTTCTAGAAGGAAAAAAAATTTACATTTCTTTTTTTCTTTGTTGACTGTTGTTTGGGAATCCTTGTACATTGACCGGACATCCTGGAGTTGTTGTTCCTCTTGGATTCGTGCCTGAGCTAGCTGGGAGTACTCGTCATGATTTTTCTCAAGCATCATCTGGTAGCGCGCAAGCTCCTGCTGGACACCGTACAATTCTACACCAAGATCCTCACGTTCTTTTTTACGATTCCTTAGTGCCTCCTCCTACAAAAAGCATATATGGAGCACAGTAAGAACTTTCTCAAAACCCTTCTGACACCCAGAAATTGATATATCTTTATCTGATAATAAAAAAAATCTGGTATTTTTTGTGGAGGCTCAAATTTGAATGTTTTCCTAAGATATTAATCACCAAAAAAATTATCATTTGATAAATAGCATGTATAGCAAACTGTCCCCAAAGTAAAACAATAAACAAAATAAAAATTCAATTAAGACTGCTTTTTTTTTAGTATATTGCATAGACACAATCGTACCTTTATCAAGGTCAACGGACATTGGAATTGAAAGCAAAGAAATTTCACTTTCATGTATCTCATTTCCTCATAAATGTTACAAATTCCTTCTTAACGAAGACATAGTTTTTTAGGATACTTACTAGTTCTCTCAGCTCCAGTGAGACCTTCTCATTTTGCTTGTTTAGGTGGGATTTCAAAGCATTCTGGAATCTTTGCATCAATGGCTGAAAAAAAAAATGAAGTATGTTGCATCAGTTTCAAATTTAGAATTATTTTTCTATCTTTTTGAGTTAAACATATTAACACACTGAAAGAGAAGTAACAAGTGGTCATGTTTACAAAAGACCTCAGTTTTCATGAGAACCAGAAAAAAAATGATCAGGAAACTTAGAAAATTAAGTTTAGCAAAATAATTATTCAATTACATGGTCTGGATCCAGGACAACCATATCACCATCTTCATCACTTCCTTCTGACTCTGCTTCATCTACATCTTCCATTTCTTCTTCATCATCATCATCCCCATCACTGTCGCCATCCCCGCCCCCATCGCCTCCATCACCTCCTGGTGGACGATGAACCAGAGCTCCGTAGTCTGTGGTGGGGGGTTGCTGTGGAGGGGGCTGATAGTTGTATGCATCTTGGTCAGCAGACATACCCTGTCCACCTGGATGAATGAAAATTGGGTCAATACAGCGACTAATATTACAACATATTTACCTATTTATAAGCCCATTCCTCACAATAAGCCCACACACAAATATTGCTGTCCTATACAATTATAAATCAATGCTATTTCATTGTCTTCTAATAAGCCCACCCCTGACTTAAGTTTTTATGTTGGCCCCCTGGGCTAATTCCAGGATCACTTTTGTATAACCTTGACAATGTCTAGAAACCCTACTGGTCACATCCTATACATAGGAATCATTTTAAAGGTTATGGATGTTACAGTAAAGGATGTTATTTTCAATGATTCAAAATTTCATGGGACAAAAAAATGTTTGAAGCAAAATTGATATTTTTGATCAAATGGAACTTAGAGAAAGGTTTACAGCACGTTTCATATTTCATTTTCAAGGTATTTGATTCTCTGGATATTTTATCAATCTAAATAAAACGGTTAAAAACTAAAAATAGCACCACTTGAAAATATCGAAAAATAACAATCTCCATCAAAAAAAGTGTAGCAAATTAGCCCCTCCACCCTCCCCCTACCCAAAAAAAAGGAATGTACTTTTATTTACTGTAGTATCATGCATTGATTTTGAAATGAAATTATGGTATCTCTCTATCATAGAACATCCCAAATTCATTTACATAAATTATTCTTTGATTCCAACAATTCATAGCAACTTTGGTTGAAATATGTTCAACCGACACATAAGGCTTTCAAAGCTTACACATCCAATATTCCACACTGAATCTTGCTATTATCTTCCCATTCATTATGTTAAATTCAAGAGTCTTAAGGAATAAGTATAAGCTTCTAAAGAAAATTGGGTTGAGACCTGTATTTATATATTTCATTTTACACATTTCTTTGCCAATAAAACAAAATCTCAATAAAGAGTCGGGCCGGATATTGGACAAGAGACCTACACACCTTCAGCAGTTTGTGGCGGTGCTTTAATGCCATGTTGTGGTGAAGACAACTCATCATCTGGAACTTCAGGTTCCTGGGCTGGCTCTGGAGGCTGTTCAGGTTCTACTACAGCTGTAGAAACAAACACCAGGCATATAATACAAATACACACATAATACCTTAAATATTTGAAATTGTTGTGAAAGCTGACTTATCAATGATTCAAATTCTTGTGGTGTTATATGGAACATATGAGGACAAAAAAAAGGACACTGTATTGAAAATATAAACAAATTAATTTTTTTTTTTATCATTTTCTGGTTTCATGATTGTCTTCTTTCCTGGAAAATAGGGAAAAACTGTTGATTTAAGGAGTCATAAAAATATTGCCTTTGGAAAATAGCAAATTTTACAGTTATAAAAGGAACCTGAAAATTAAGATTCAATATATACCCCAAGATATAGCTAATTGAAATTGAAAATTAATGTATGATCATATGAATTTAAAGAAGCATACGTTTAGCACTTGTTGGTCGTGACTTGGGTTTGCCACTGGTGGGCCTAGACCCCCCTTTTGCTGCTGATGTAGGACGACTGCCAGTTTGAGATGGGGGTCTGTTTCTAGAAGCAGGACGTGTTGCTGAAGTAGGTCTCTCTCCAGCAGCTGAAGCCCTTCCACTGCCGGCAGGAGAAGCAGGTTTGGCTGATGTTGGACGAGATCCTGCTTTTGATCCTATTCGAAGATATATACACTTTTTAACAATCTAAAAAAGTTTTCTCTTTTCATAAAGTAAATTGTCATGAAATTGTCTTATTTCAAATTAAGTCAGAGATTAAAAAAAAATTGATAAACACTCCTGAAAAATATACAGCCATTGAATATGAGAACTTCATTATCCAGCAATAAGCCCTTATCTGGTAATAAGACCACCTATATCTATATTGTTGTTTAATAGCGTTCATAAGGATTTTAAAAAATTACATTTCAACGTCCTAATAAAATCTTATTCTTTGACTCTGAGAATGAAGTATGGTCCCGGGGCATATAGTAGCAGATAAATACAATGCCTTACTATTTGCAACTTGAAAATTAAAAAAATCTTCTGATTTTTGTATACATGACATTTCATGACTATGACCTGGCATCACAGACCTGGTCTTGCTGATGTTGGACGGGAACCTGATTTCACTGAAGCAGGGCGGACAGGATCTGCAGGTTCTTTGTCTGCTTCAGGCTCAACTGGTTTTTCCATGTCACCAGTATCAAACTATAAACACAGGAAGATTATAGTCATTATGTGTTTGTTTATTAGAACAACTTCACACAAACATTTTTATTTATACAACTGATTGTCAACTTCCTCCTTGTCGTATCGGACACTTTCCAACATGGGAGTATTCACCGTTTCCTACAATGCATAAATTCTAAAAAAATGTTTTGTAAAACAAATCACAATGCCTATATTTTGAAAAAAAAAAAACATCATAACGATGAACACACAAATCTTTCAGGTTTCTTTTAATCAGGAGTGTGTGTGAATGCGTGGGTTTTTCATCTCTGTCAAATTCTGATAAAACCCTGATTGCATAATTTTATTTTTTGTGAAAGTATATATAATGTAGCACCAATGCTACTGTTTCCTATATAAAGATTGTGCATTTCTCCTTAGCCAGATTTTGAATTGATTTTTAAGTCATTATATTATGACATGCAAGTCCAATTTAGAATCCACAACATACAACATAAAATCTATAAAAAAAACCCCTTGTAATGCTGCTTTATTGCATCAATCATGTGATTATAATGCATTTAGCAGTTAAAGTTTCCCAGATGTGGACAGCATAATTCTTCTTACACATTCAATATTGTACTTACCTCCTGTAAAGCTTTCACTGTTGCATCTGCTACAACATTTTCTAGGCCAGGTTTGTCACCAGACGGTGGTCTGTAGAAAACGACAAAACCATGCATTACACACCAGTTTATATATTACAGAAACAGAGTCTACTGTGAACAGTTGAATATTATTGGGTTGTGGTTGATTCTAGCACTAAGGTATTCTAATTAAGATGATGACATTTTTAGCTCCACACTAAATTACAATACCCTTGAAAAGACTGCCCTCACCATAAACACTAATACTCTAGTAAGGACAGCCCTCAACATAAACACCAGCAATCTTTTGTGGACTGCCAACACCATACACATTAATATTCTGGAGATGACTTTTTTTGCAAGGCTGTCCTCATCATCAACACTAATTACTCTTGTATATCCTTGTGAATACTGTCCTTTTCATCTAATACTTTTGGGAGGATGCATACTTTCCTCACCCTTCACAATGAAGGATCACTGTTATCACAAACAACGATATTCTAAAATAATGACCGTCCTCACTCTAAACAATTACATTCTAATGAAGACCATTATCACTGCAAACAAAAATATGCCTGCTCCTGTGAGGACTGTCTTCCACTAAAACAGGACTACCCACAGTTTAAAACAATAATGTGACACTCTTCTGAAGACTGTCCTGACCATAAGGCTAGAAACGATATCATTGCGGGCATTGCCTTTGCCTTATTCTTCAATTACTTCCCCATAACATTCCGTCCTCGTCAGAAAATTGCACACAATCATCATATTTTCAAATATGTGGAATAGTTCTTTAACCAAGTTCCAAATCAATAATCGACATTCCATACATCTGGTTTCGACATTGCAACGCCCCCACCAAATGTATGAAATCTTAAATTCTGTGACTTTCAACGTTGATGCATGCATAATTGTTAACATTACGTTTGCTGGCAATAGTGAACTATCTTAGTGTTCAAAGCTTTGTGTGATTACTACCGAGAAGACATTATTTACCTTTCTTCTTGGTCTGCCATGTTGTTTGTTGCTAAGCAGGAAATAACATTACTATGTATTGTGGGTAATTTACGTTCGACACTCTCTTGACTTTACGTACTATTGATTAGATTATTCTTGAAAACCCTGAATGGTGGAAGTAAGCCAATGAAATAAGGTTTTACATACGAGGATATAATTAGATGATTAACGAAAAGAAAATAATACCACGATTTCATCAACAACATGTCACTAATATTTTGTGGATATTTTTGAATTGCCATGGGGAAAAGCATGGTAAGTTACTAACTTCAGCGAACGTCGCAATTACATATCCTTCAGGCAGGCGCATATGTGCTGAACCACGAAGAAAACAAGAGATGATGAAGCTGGTGACGCTGACGATCGATATGACACACTGCCCCCTTTACAGTTTATACAATTACAGTAAACTTAATTGTACACTTTTGAACTAAGCTACTTAATCGCCGTCACATTGTTTGTTTCACAGGAAATTGGATATTTGCTACAATAAGTATGTATGTACCTGCTGTCATCTCGAATATATATACCATCTGCCATCTAGGATGCGCTAATTTACAAACATTGATTTACACGAGAGTAGTGTAACAGAGGTCATTTATTATATAAAATTTTCCGCAAAGAATCAAACCTTAGGCCTGTGGTTTACTAGCCTTACGCTTTACTGATGGGATTAAATATAATTGCTCCCTTAGCCGAGTTGGTGATTAAGCAGCTAGTATTCTACCAGGGTCATGTATGGTCTGATATATGTATGTACACTCCCATCAATGCATAACTGTCTCCAAGTGGGCACCAAATCTAATATTAGGTCATAACACAATGATGCTGAGGACTTGGATGAGCATTGAACCTGAGTCAGTTGTCTGAATTATAGCATTGTACTATCAAAATTTTCTGTGTCTTTTTCACTTCTTTTGATATTGGGTGAATATCAGAACTTGAGCCTTGTGAAAATTGAGGGGAAAAAAAATAGATGACCTGAGCCAAGGACATCATTTCAAGGATGTCATATATTGTGGAAATAAATTGTCATTTTCATATGCATAGCACACAATGACCATTTTTGACAGTCATGGAACATGAACCTCAGAATAGCTTGGACAATACCTACTTTCTAAAAAACAACAGCTCTATAAATGGTGTTGAAAAAGCATGAGTGATAGGGATTGTTTTTTAATTTTGTAATTCTACTTAATACCTAGTAATAGTTTTTTTTTTGTGTGTGTGTGTGTGTGCATGTAATTTTTGCTATATTGACAAATAATGCATGCAAACACTGAAATTTTGTAACATATTTTCAGACCCAACATGTTATTTCTGTTTATACATGTAAATACAAACTACACTATCTAAAGTGAATTGTAATGAATCAAATGTAGTTGCCTGTGATATCAAGTGTCCTTGTAAACTGACCACTGAACATTATAGAATTGTAAATGTACATATTAAGCAGCATTTTCATCGGAGATAACCCTTTGTAATTTTTTTTTTATTGACACACATTTCAATCTCTAAAGAAGAAAAATGACAATGAAAATAACATTAAAATCAGGACATTTATAGAGCAAATTTTTTAGAACTCATGATATGTTAAATGTTTAATGAGTATCACAGCATGGTTAAAACATTCAATGATTTGTTGTTAGAAGGCATAGGGTAACTAATTATGACATGAGTTATGCAAAAATCTTATCGGATTATTAGAAAATGTAACACTATTTAAATGCCTTGTAAATATCTATGATAGTGTGTAATCAGGAAATAACCCTGAAAGGATATCAAACTTATGTAATATCAAATGCTGATGGTAGCGTAAAATAAGCATTTCGATGTGTGTGCAGCTTGCAGGGCATTCAGTTGGCCCTGAACATTTGATATTTTCAGAAGCTAAATCACAAATATGAAGGGTCAAAATATATGTGAAATAGACATTTCCTTTTAAACTTGAGTGTCAAATCTCATTTTTTGTAAACTACAAAAACATACTCTACACTGTTCACTGAATGCCCTGGTATACATAATGACAGTTGGTTTCCACGATAAATTGATAACGATTTTAATACCTTCAAAGGCACAAGCAGCTTATTTCATTTTCTTGATTACTTATGTTTATCAAAATGAGACCTATTTAAAAGAATTGCTAGAAAGTCAGAATAATTGGTCTGGTTTGAGATGTACATGTAGTAGATTGGCAGACTACATCCTTAGATGTGTGAATATATTTGTAAACTCCCTAACAACTACAGTTGTAATGGAGATATGAGAACTGGATAAAAAGTTTTCCTGAATTTCTGACTCATGAATGAATATTTGCTCTACATTGTGTTAGATGAAGATTTATGGATGAAATCTGACAAAAATGTATGTAACTGTGGAACAGAATAAAATTTAGGTTATAAAATGGTTTAACTTTTTTCAGGAAATTCTGATTGCTGTTAGGAGCTGTGGGAAAAGATTTGTTGAAACGCTTTGAATTCAGAAGGAAGTCCATGTTTTCTCCGCCACTTGTCTCCATGGACCCTGTCATGGCATTCAGCACTATATTTAAGAAGGCTTCCAACTTTCTGGGGATTGGGTCAGATTCCCCAAAACATCCTCCTCTGGATGGAGAGATCATCTACTGTAAAAACAATGTATGTGTGCATCCCCCAGCACCCATGACAATGGATACAGAGCACCACCCTGGCTATCTCACTCTCAGGTCACAACAGGAGGAGGTAATGATTTCAGTTTTGGGGTTAAAGGTCAGAGATATGGGGTTAAAAGTCATAGGTTCATATTTATAAGGGTGAAGGTACATGATAGAAGGTCACAGATTTAGGGTAGCTGACAAGTCTTTAGGTGGTACATGTTTGAATTTACTTATCTAGAATTCTAGTCACCCTCTAAAGTTCTAGTCACTGTCAGAATTCTAGTCACAATCCAGTGTTCTTGTCACACTCCAGAGTTCTAGTCACTATCAGAATACTAGTCACAATCCAGTGTTCTTGTCACCCTCCAGAGTTCTAGTCACTATCAGAATACTAGTCACAATATCAGAATACTATCAGAATACACAATCCAGTGTTCTTGTCACCCTCCAGAGTTCTAGTCACTATCAGAATACTAGTCACAATCCAGTGTTCTTGTCACCCTCCAGAGTTCTAGTCACTATCAGAATACTAGTCACAATCCAGTGTTCTTGTCACCCTCCAGAGTTCTAGTCACTATCCAGAAGTCGCTCTCCAAAATTTATCAAAGGAAATAGATAATGGTATGATAGGTGAAATATTTGCTTTTTTCCTTACAGAACAATGGTCCTACTCTGATTCTAACTTGGATACCTAATTCCTCTCTAAAGAAAAATCCTCGTAGCATAGAGAACAGCCCCAACCGCACTGATGTGTCTACACCTAAAGTTAGTCCACGGCGGCCCCCACGTCCGGACTTCGCCCGGTCTGACCAGCCCACACCTTCCCCTAGCAGCTCCCCACGAGGTTCATGTGTGTCCGCCAGCAGTGATGTGTGTGATGGTCCAAGCACTAAAACACACAAACGTATTAGCATTGACAACAGCAGTGTGTTGTCAGAATGTTCCCGTGATGAGTATTGTGATAGCTGGGCGCCACACGAAGATCATGGACGCAAGTTAAGTACCAGTAATAAATCTCAAACAGATTCAGGGATAGGTCCTGATGAGGTGCTGCAGAACAATGAGCTACCTGCCTCAAGTGTGAGTAAAGGGGTCAGAGTAGGGCTTACTGTCAATAACCTACATTGTCAGAAAGAGGGCAATACTAATGGTAAAACGACACCTTGTCTCGACTCGTCCTCACCAGACACCAGTGATGGTCTGACTCCTGAGGAACAGCTTGCAGCTATGCTCAACAGAAATAAACTGCGTGCTAAACCTACAAGAGATCGAATAGACTCTAATAAATCTGTTAGTATTGAAATGAATGGTGACAATTTAGTGGTGGTAACAGAGGAGGTGGACAGAGCAGATAAGTACGATTTACAGGACTGTAACATTAACAAAAATGACAGTAAATTTGACAGTAGTAGTTCCACAGATGTAGAACAGAACAGTGTGAGTTCCGATTCCACACATCCAAGTCCGTCAGGCCGTCATTACAACAACATGTTACAGGAACTCAGGGAAGATATTGATAATAATGGACATATTGAACAGCAATCTCCAAAAACTTGTCCAAATGTTCCCACTGATTTACAACTGGCTCCATCTTCAAAAAGTTATCAGAACGATCTGACAACACCAGATATCAGTGTTACAAGGTACCGCCTATCTTCCTCCTCCTCCACTAGTACATCAGGGCCTGATTCTGGCCCACCAAGTCCCTCCCTCGTCTCATCTCCTGACTGGGACCAGCCCCCAGACACGCCCTCAAGTTGTGAATCGGGTGCACATAACCTTACTTTTCCTAACAATTCCCTTGGCTTAGGAGGAGCACGGCGTGAAAACAGATGTGCAAAGGACCAAGTGTGTGGTGTGTTCTCTGTGGATTTAGGTAAGTGCCAGTGAAGTGATAATATATCATTTGATAAATCAACATTGCTTTTGGAATTAAATCAAATATATTTCCTCTGTCTGCTGATACCAATATATATGAAGAATTTGTTATTTCAGGACAAATGCGGTCACTGCGCCTGTTCTACAGTGACCGAGGCTGCAGTAAAGGACAGGTAGTCATTGCCAGCAGAGAAAGTCAGTACAAAATTCTTCATTTCCATCATGGAGGCTTGGATAAACTGGCAGAAATATTTGATGACTGGAATTTATTTGCCAAAACACAAGAAAAGGTAAAATTACACAGTGGTTCAATACGGTTATCAGTTTTTTTTTAGTAAAATACTATTAAGTATGTGTAGTTGATACAGTTTTGAAGTAAAACTATCCTGCATTGATGCTTGGACTTGGAGTTTCAGCTTTGTTACTTTGAATGGTGTGAAACTGGAAATTAAAGGGTTAATACTCTTCAGAATCCCCCTTTTTATGTTTAGATGAAGAAAATTTGATCAAATCTGGTACCAGATCATTCTAAAGGGGTCTTACAGGAGAAGTAAAACTTCTTTCATGGTTCAGGGTATTTGATAAGTATAACATATTAACATATAAAAGTACATCAGAGCAACGACTAAATACGCGGTTTTATTTCTTCTCCAGAACAAGGAAACAGATCGAAATTACAGCCAGTTCTTAATTGTGCGACCACAGCTGACAGATGAACAGTGTCATCCAGAGGAAGGTGTGTATGGAGTTGTGTGTGATGAGATGTGGAAACGACATATGACAGTGGACGGTATTATAGAGGAAGACTTTCAACTCCGCAAGGTAGGAAGTCCTGTGCTGTATATATTAGTAATCATTGTTACAGAGTATTTACTTCTGTGATCTGGAGCAGTTCTGTACTGTATATATCAGTAATCGTTGTTACAGAGTATTTACTTCTGTGATCTGGAGCAGTTCTGTACTGTATATATCAGTAATCGTTGTTACAGAGTATTTACTTCTGTGCTCTGGAGCAGTTCTGTTCTGTGTTTATCAGTAATCATTGTTACAGAGTATTTACTTCTGTGATCTGGAGCAGTTCTGTACTGTATATATCAGTAATCATTGTTACAGAGTATTTTCTTCGGTGGCTTGGAGCTGTACTGTACTGTATATGTCTGATTCAGTAATCTTGTCGTTGTTACAGAGTATTTACTTCTGTGATCTGGAGCAGTTCTGTACTGTATATATCAGTAATCATTGTTACAGAGTATTTTCTTCGGTGGCTTGGAGCTGTACTGTACTGTATATGTCTGATTCAGTAATCTTGTCGTTGTTACAGAGTATTTTCTTCTGTTGCATGGAGCTGTATTGTACTGTATATGTCTGATTCAGTAATCTTGTCGTTGTTACAGAGTATTTTCTTCTGTTGCATGGAGCTGTACTGTACTGTATATGTCTGATTCAGTAATCTTGTCGTTGTTACAGAGTATTTACTTCTGTGATCTGGAGCAGTTCTGTACTGTATATATCAGTAATCATTGTTACAGAGTATTTTCTTCGGTGGCTTGGAGCTGTACTGTACTGTATATGTCTGATTCAGTAATCTTGTCGTTGTTACAGAGTATTTACTTCTGTGCTCTGGAGCAGTTCTGTACTGTATATATCAGTAATCATTGTTACAGAGTATTTTCTTCGGTGGCTTGGAGCTGTACTGTACTGTATATGTCTGATTCAGTAAACTTGTCGTTGTTACAGAGTATTTTCTTCGGTGGCTTGGAGCAGTATTGTACTGTATATATCAGTAGTCATTGTTACAGAGTATTTACTTCTGTTGCATGGAGCTGTACTGTACTGTATATGTCTGATTCAGTAATCTTGTCGTTGTTACAGAGTATTTACTTCTGTTGCATGGAGCTGTACTGTACTGTATATGTCTGATTCAGTAATCTTGTCGTTGTTACAGAGTATTTACTTCTGTTGCATGGAGCTGTACTGTACTGTATATGTCTGATTCAGTAATCTTGTCGTTGTTACAGAGTATTTACTTCTGTTGCCTGGAGCTGTACTGTACTGTATATGTCTGATTCAGTAATCTTGTCGTTGTTACAGAGTATTTACTTCTGTTGCCTGGAGCTGTACTGTACTGTATATGTCTGATTCAGTAATCTTGTCGTTGTTACAGAGTATTTACTTCTGTTGCCTGGAGCTGTACTGTACTGTATATGTCTGATTCAGTAATCTTGTCGTTGTTACAGAGTATTTTCTTCTGTTGCATGGAGCTGTATTGTACTGTATATATCAGTAGTCATTGTTACAGAGTATTTACTTCTGTTGCCTGGAGCTGTACTGTACTGTATATGTCTGATTCAGTAATCTTGTCGTTGTTACAGAGTATTTACTTCTGTGGCTTGGAGCTGTACTGTACTGTATATGTCTGATTCAGTAATCTTGTCGTTGTTACAGAGTATTTTCTTCTGTTGCATGGAGCTGTATTGTACTGTATATATCAGTAGTCATTGTTACAGAGTATTTACTTCTGTGATCTGGAGCTGTACTGTACTGTATATATCAGTAATCATTGTTACAGAGTATTTACTTCTGTTGCCTGGAGCTGTACTGTACTGTATATGTCTGATTCAGTAATCTTGTCGTTGTTACAGAGTATTTTCTTCGGTGGCTTGGAGCCGTCCCTTCGACATGAAACATGGCCTTTTCTATTACATTATTATCCCTATCGTTCAACTCACGAGGAACGAGAACACATTCGTAATGACCGTTACATCGATTACCAGAACATCAGAAAAAAAAGGTATGTTAAACTTGAGAATTTTAATGTTGCAGATGGTATTTATGGATGATTTGTGGCAATGTTGAAACCACACACTCATGTATGTCCTTGATGACCCAGGTTTGATTCTCCAATCAGATATGACCATATGCAATTGCGTTTTCTCTCACTTTAAGGCCCCTGGTTTCTAAGAATGATTGATATAAGTTGATATACTGGAGGTTGGTTTAGTTTTAGTGATATACATCTTTTTTATTATAAACTTTATTTATTTTATTGTGAAATAAATCATTCAAATTATACTAATCTCTCCTGTTATCCCAAATGGAATCCTGGGAGGGGGTTTGTCTGTGGGCGGAAACTGGAATACCTGGAGAAAACAAACATGGTCAGACAGATGACTCCTTACATTTTCACATCTGTTTGGGGAATCAAACTCCAGACAAAGAGTTGAAAGACTAATAGAATCTTCCCCTACCCTGAGGGTGTGATAGAGAAATCTCCAACCCGAGGGGTGATTTTTGTTGTTGACTAACCCGAGGCTCTGCCGAATCACCCAGCGGGTTGGAGATTTCTCTGTCACATCCTCTGAGGGTAGGGATTGATTATTTTTCTCCCATTCCATTATTTCCGCCACGACGTTAAAAAAAAAAAAAATCCCACGGTACAAGTGTCTGAATGGCGCATGAATATCAACATTCACGTTTCCAAAATTCTACATTCTTCCGCGATAGCAAAATGACAGACTACAAACGCAATATGAATAACCATTAGAAATATTCATTTTTTGGAAATTAAATATTTTAATTAGCGATAGATACATGGAAATACTTGTATTGAACAACATTTAACTCCGTATCATTTATTAAGGTAGGGTAGGCTTGCTGCGATGTCATGGACAAAAAGGGGATTTCCCAGTTTATAATGACGTCAATTGTTTATGCACGCGAAAAATTGCAATGGTGTGAGTGTCACGCATGTGTTCATTCAGAATCAGAGTCATAGATGATCCTCCGACGTTTATTTGTGTTCACTGGACAAGGATTGTTATAGTTAATGTTAACTGTGATGTTACAGTCGCGCATTACGGAACCTGCAAACAAAGCATCCACTCGTCGGTTTGAGTAAGTTGTGATAGCCGACTGAGGTCACCGAGTGCAGTCATGTGGGATAGATTTATCCTCCATGGGTGTTCCACATGGGACATGTCTATCCTACATGGGCAGAGGTGGGAGAAAAGTGTGTTACCACTATACTTTTAGTCTTCATCTGCAAGTTTTGTCTGGCAACCAAATTGAGATATTTGGCCCGAGATCTAATAAATGTTACCGGTTTTGTTTCTGTCATAAGATTGGTAGGTGTCAATATTACCTTTGGATATCTTTGTCTTTTAAAAAGAACGGAATCAGTTTTTAAAACTTTCGCATATATCATCACTAGGTGAAATCATAGTGTGTTTTTAGGACATCAGTGTCTGCTTTGTGACCAAGAAATTATTTTTTTATGTTTTTTTTTCAGGGAAATGATGACGGAAGAAGAACAAGATGAGTTCTGGCGTAAAATCCAGTCCATTGTAGAGAAGGATGTGGTCAGAACTGACCGGACACATCCATATTTCCGTGGGGAGGACAATCCTAACATTGAGGTGCTTAAGTAAGTATTTGAATATTGAATCCAGAAATGTAGCTGTTCTCATATTATAGACCAGTAATCATCATCTTCTCTCCTACACCATGTTTTTAATCATAACCAATTACCAAGTTCATGAATTATATAGATTTCACTTCTATATTGAATTTCAGCAATGGAAATTGACAATTTTTGTAGACTGATCTGCCCTCTTGTTGCATTAGCGTGGTTTTATCAAACACAGGTGGATCTTTCTATAATCAGTTATTTATTTGTTGACAGGAATATATTGCTGAACTATGCAATGGCTAACCCACATATGGGCTACACACAGGGTATGTCCGATCTCCTGGCACCTGTCCTCGCTGAGATCCAAAACGAGGCAGATGCTTTCTGGTGCTTCACAGGACTTATGCAGCGAACACTGTTTGTGAGTTCCCCCAAAGATTCTGATATGGACAAACAGTTGGTAAGTAGTACCCTAATTAAAGTTAAACATTGTTTTGATTTGTAAATAATGCACCCTTTTGATTTACCCTGGAAAGTTTTGGCGGAACATATCGTTGCTGCTTTGACCAAATGTCAGTCTTTGTCAGAAGGATAACTTTGCCCACAATCAAGCAAGGATCTTGAAACTTGGTGTATACATTGGTCAGTGTACCACATTCAGGGCCTGCAACCCCTCAATTACAGAGTTATTGCCCTTTCCTAATATTCCATGCTCAGAACATAACTTTGCATTTCATTTAAACTAGAATAATGAAACTTGATGTATACATTGGTCATACTAAGAGGATATGCAGTGCACCAAATTTTGTTTTGGTGGAGCATTTATCAGTTTCACTGGGAGTTAGATTTGGAGGAAAAGCTTTAGCTTTGAACCCAAAATCACGCCACATCACCAAATTCTGGCACTAGGCCTTGATTTGAGGGTTCATCTTCGAAATCTGCTCTGGATGATTATGTCTGTCATAGGCCTGTATGCAGTTGTATTATCACAGGTCTATTAAATGCCTGTATGTAATTTATTAAGACAGGAATATTACAGGCCTGTATTGTATTAGCACAGGTCTATGAAAGGCTAGTGTGTAAAAATTACTGCATTAACACAGGTATATTAAAGGCCTGTATGTAATTGTATTATCACAGGTCTATTAAATGCCTGTATGTAATTGTATTAAGACAGGAATATTACAGGCCTGTATTGTATTAACACAGGTCTATGAAAGGCTTGTGTGTAAAAATTACTGCATTAACACAGTTATATTAAAGGCCTGTATGTAATTGTATTTTCACAGGTATATTAAAGGCCTGTATGTGATTGTGTTAACACAGGTCTATTAAAGGCCTGTTTGTGATTGTATTAAGACAGGTCTTTTAAAAACCTGTAAGTAGTTGTATTAACACAGGTCTGTTAAAGGCCTGTATGTAATTGTATTTTCACAGGTATATTAAAGGCCTGTTTGTGATTGTGTTAACAAAGGTCTATTAAATGCCTGTATGTAATTGTATTAAGACAAGTCTATTAAAGGCCTGTATGTGATTGTATTAAGACAGGTCTATTAAATGCCTGTATGTAATTGTATTAACACAGGTCTATGAAAAACCTGTAAGTAGTTGTATTAACACAGGTCTATTAGAGGCCTGTATGTAATTGTTGGGACCATTGACTGTTAACAACTATATTTGTATGTAATATAGGGGCCCTGATAAATTTATAATAGATATTTTTATTATGTAATCTTGGATTTGTTTTTCATTTGTCAGAATTACTTGCGAGAACTGATACGTATCATGCTGCCAGATTTCTTTATGCATCTCAAGAGACTTGGCCAGGATGCCATGGAGCTCCTCTTCTGTCACAGGTTTGTATTACAGGAAGACTGGCTGGAAAAATATGATTGCTGTCAGTAATTTGTTACGACAGATGTTGTTAAAATTTCTTAGTCTTTGCTTGTTCATAGTTGAGAATTATTAGCTGTATGACCACTTTGTTGTTGATTTAGGCATCAGTTGTTAAAAGTTGTTATAATTATTTGTCAGTGTACAATTTATAGAGTTTTATATTTTCTGTTGATATGTTTAGTTTGGAGACTGACTGTAGGAATATGGTGGTTATTATGGGATGGCTATCTATGATTATGTTATTTGAGTTTGTTATATTTATGGATCAAATGATTAAAAAATCTTATGGAGATTAATGAAATTACATGTAAGAAACATTCAAGCTTTCTACCTTTGATGGGTAAGAGGATATATATAAATGTAAATTTGAAGATGTAGAAATTTGCTAGCTGAAAAATTCAGTAAAAATGTTTGTATATTTCTGACAGATGGATCCTTTTGTGCTTTAAACGGGAGTTCCCTGAAGGGGATGCCCTAAAGATCTGGGAATCTTGCTGGGCCCACTATCAGACTGACTATTTCCATCTTTTTATCTGTGTGGCCATTGTTAGTATCTACGGCGATGATGTCATTGATCAAGGTCTCCCCGCTGATGAAATTCTGCTCCACTTTAGTAGCCTCGCCATGCATATGAATGGCGACATGGTGCTGAGGAAGGTATGCTCACATAGAAAAAAATTGTTCCATATGAGGATAAGTTTTGTTTGTTATTTCATATATGGATATTGTGTGGTAAAATTCAAATATTATTTAAATGTTGTGTTGATTTAGTGATAAGTTTCTGTCCTGCAATAACCCTAGAATGCCAATACGTTACTGATGACTTATAAAAAAGTTATGATTAATGATTAATAAATAATAATGGACTTTAATTTATGAGTGGGCTTATTGTCAAATAAATACAGTACCTGGTATATTGTCCAACAATCGGTGTCATAGTGAAATTGTAGTGGAAACCGAAAAGGTTGAAATTATAACAATCCTCTCTCAATGTTAAGTTTTATCATAGAATTTCTCATTGAAGCCTCAAGATATTAGAAAATTTTACGTTTGAGCCTTGCTTTGAGATCGAACTTTGGGTTTGATATTGGCTTTTCCATACAATTTCTTTTGAGTCAAGCTTTGTTATAGAATTTCATATAATTTCCTATCCTATGTGAAGGTTGTTATCTGGATATCTTATGTGCATTTTGTTACAGGCACGAGGACTCCTGCACCAGTACAGAAAAATTCCAAAGATTCCATGTACACTGCATGGCTTGTGTACCCTTTGTGGGCCAGGTATGTGGGACAGTGGTCATGTTCCTACAGTAGCTTGTGTTGGTAATCACCCAGACGGTGTCTGTCCATATCATAGCAACCCCAGTACTCCAAACTCACCGGACCATCAACATCAACTATAGCAACCCCAGTACTCCAAACTCACCGGACCATCAACATCAACAATAGCAACCCCAGTACTCCAAACTCACCGGACCATCAACATCAACTATAGCAACCCCAGTACTCAGACTCACTGGACCATCAACATCAACTCTAGCAACCCCAGTACTCAGACTCACTGGACCATCAACATCAACTCTAGCAACCCCAGTACTCAAACTCACTGGACCATCAACATCAACTATAGCATCCCCAGTACTCAAACTCACCGGACCATCAACATCAACTATAGCAACCCCAGTACTCAGACTCACTGGACCATCAACATCAACTCTAGCAACCCCAGTACTCAAACTCACTGGACCATCAACATCAACAATAGCAACCCCAGTACTCAAACTCACTGGACCATCAACATCAACTATAGCATCCCCAGTACTCAAACTCACTGGACCATCAACATCAACTATAGCAACCCCAGTACTCAAACTCACTGGACCATCAACATCAACTATGGCAACCCCAGTACTCAAACTCACTGGACCATCAACATCAACTATAGCAACCCCAGTACTCAAACTCACTGGACCATCAACATCAACAATAGCAACCCCAGTACTCAAACTCACTGGACCATCAACATCAACTATAGCAACCCCAGTACTCAAACTCACTGGACCATCAACATCAACAATAGCAACCCAATACTCAAACTCACTGGACCATCAATATCAACTATAGCAACCCCAGTACTCAGACTCACTGGACCATCAACATCAATTATAGCAACCCCAGTACTCAAACTCACTGGACCATCAACTATAGCAACCCCACTACTCAAACTCACTGGACCATCAACATCAACAATAGCAACCCCAATACTCAAACTCACTGGACCATCAACATCAACTATAGCAACCCCAGTACTCAAACTCACTGGACCATCAACATCAACTATAGCAACCCCAGTACTCCAAATTCACCGGACCATCAACATCAACTATAGCAACCCCACTACTCAAACTCACTGGACCATCAACATCAACAATAGCAACCCCAATACTCAAACTCACTGGACCATCAACATCAACTATAGCAACCCCAGTACTCAAACTCACTGGACCATCAACATCAACTATAGCAACCCCAGTACTCCAAATTCACCGGACCATCAACATCAACTATAGCAACCCCACTACTCAAACTCACTGGACCATCAACATCAACAATAGCAACCCCAATACTCAAACTCACTGGACCATCAACATCAACAATAGCAACCCCAGTACTCAAACTCACTGGACCATCAACATCAACTATAGCAACCCCAGTACTCAAACTCACTGGACCATCAACAGTGGCAACCCCAGTTCTCAAACTCACTGGACCATCAACATCAACAATAGCAACCCCAGTACTCAAACTCACTGGACCATCAACATCAACTATAGCAACCCCAGTACTCAAACTCACTGGACCATCAACATCAACTATAGCAACCCCAGTACTCAAACTCACTGGACCATCAACTATGGCAACCCCAGTTCTCAAACTCACTGGACCATCAACATCAACAGTAGCAACCCCAGTACTCAAACTCACTGGACCATCAACATCAACTATAGCAACCCCAGTACTCAAACTCACTGGACCATCAACATTAACTATAGCAACCCCAGTACTCCAAATTCACAGGACCATCAACATCAACTATAGCAACCCCAGTACTCAAACTCACTGGACCATCAACTATGGCAACCCCAGTACTCAAACTCACTGGACCATCAACATCAACTATAGCAACCCCAGTACTCAAACTTACTGGATCATTAATAAAATTAACATAAATTACTCCCACATGAAAATACCTGATGCTTTTATCCGATAATATGAACTATATATATAGACTGGAAGACGTCATCTGAATGGTTAGAACCTTAACAAGATTGTAACATGACTATGATTGCCATCAAGGCCTCTATGTAACGGGGAATGTGTTACCATTAGTACAGGATAGTCTACATTATATTGTAGTGGAAGAAGATATCATCGACAACAGAGACATATTGGCCATTTTGGTTTGTTACCCATGTGGTCTGGAGAAATGTATTTGCTGCCATTTGCTGTTAATACATCTTCCATAGTGAGGGTGAAAACAGTTAAAAACCTGTTACACTAAACTGAGGACAGTAATTGAAGCCAAGTGTCATTTGCTGATGTCATATACCCCGGTAAGTTAATCATGCGTAAGTAAGGCCCAGTGTACCTTGACAACATCACATAGCTTTATCATGTGTAATTTAGGCCCAGTGTACCTGGATGATGTCACATAGCTTTATCATGTGTAATTTAGGCCCAGTGTACCTGGATGACATCACATAGCTTTATCATGTGTAATTTAGGCCCAGTGTACCTGGATGACATCACATAGCTTTATCATGTGTAATTTAGGCCCAGTGTACCTGGATGACATCACATAGCTTTATCATGTGTAATTTAGGCCCAGTGTACCTGGATGACATCACATAGCTTTATCATATGTAATTTAGGCCCAGTGTACCTGGATGACATCACATAGCTTTATCATATGTAATTTAGGCCCAGTGTACCTGGATGACATCACATAGCTTTATCATGTGTAATATAGGCCCAGTGTACCTGGATGACATCACATAGCTTTATCATGTGTAATTTAGGCCCAGTGTACCTGGATGACATCACATAGCTTTATCATGTGTAATTTAGACCCAGTGTACCTGGATGACATCGCATAGCTTTATCATGTGTAATTTAGGCCCAGTGTACCTGGATGACATCACATAGCTTTATCATGTGTAATTTAGGCCCAGTGTACCTGGATGACATCACATAGCTTTATCATGTGTAATTTAGGCCCAGTGTACCTGGATGACATCACATATTTTACTATATGTAATATAAGGCCCAACATTACTGGATGATGTCATAAGACTGGGTCATAAAATGGCATTTTGAAAAACACATGTATATGTTTTACTTAGTGGTTGTAAACCTATAGTTTTTACCTAGAATACATGTCACAACAAATATGTAAACGTAAAAACATTTCCAATATTTATGACAGTATATTATGTACATTGTATTTTTGTAGAAATTATTGTTTTTGTCTCCCTTAATTTTGTATGAACTGGTATTATTTGTGATTTTTTAGAGATGGTGGTATCATTTTCCTGTAGTAGTTACCTCCCCTGATTTCTAAGTATGGCTGTGCTGTTGTCCTGTGATAGTTAAACCCCCCACCCCCACCCCCACCCTCCACCCTTCTCCCCTGATTTCTGTGTATGGACTGTTAGTCTAGATTGGTATTATTTATATCGAGGGCTGTGCCGTCATCCTGTGATAGTTCCCCTGATTTCTATGTATGGACTGGTATTATTTGTAGAGATGAATGTGTTGTGGTAGTTACCTCCCCTGATTTCTATCTATGGACTGGTATTGTTTGTAGAGATGGTGGTGCTGTTGTAGTTACCTCCCCTGATTTCTATCTATGGACTGGTATTATTTGTAGAGATGAATGTGCTGTTGTAGTTACCTCCTCTGATTTCTATCTATGGACTGGTATTGTTTGTAGAGATGGTTGTGCTGTGGTAGTTACCTCCCCTGATTTCTATGTACAGACTGGTATTATTCGTAGAGATGGTTGTGCTGTTGTCATGTGATAATTGTCTCCCCCTTTTTTCCCCCCGTGTTGTAAAATCCTTCAGTAGATTATTTGATTTGTAGCTCAGCATTGAAAATGTAAACGAAGTATTGGCATATGATCAAAAGGGATGGAATATCCTACAAGACAGTTTGTTGAATATTTACGACTTTGTTTAATTGGAGCAGAAACTCATAAGGACTTTGTGATGATGTGATGTTTTAAAGTCACCCTGTCAGTCCATTAGTGTGTCCAGTTCACAGGAGCATGTTTCATTTAAATTCCTACTTTAGGTAGAAGAACAAGTTAAGAGGGAGCCATGTACATTCTTTAATTATTTTGTATGTTTTGGAAGAAGAATACCAATTTTTTTTTTTTATTTTGATTTTTCCAACATTTTCAAAAATGATGAATACCTGTCATAAAAATATCTCTGTTTTTGGAGAGTAATGTATTGTTCGTATATAACTTTTACATTCCGTCTGTTCATGATACCTGTCAAAGGTTTTTACAGAATCCTATAAAATATAAACAATATAAATGTATTTTACAAAACATATGAAAATATTATATTTTACCACAAAGTGATAGTACATGTACTGGGATACTGAAAAACAATGTTGAAGTTAATTTAACACAACCAACCTAACCAATACAGAGCTAAACAGAACAATAGCTACAATCAGACTTTCTTGATAGAAATCTGATAAGAATGTCATGATTTATTATTATAAACTATTTATTAATTATAAAGACTTTCATCATAGAACTATCGACTGTCGTGATAGTATTGATGTTATAGTTTCAGTGTAGAAATATTATCAAAGGACTGTCTATATAGAACTATCAGTATAGAACTGTCAGTATAGGACTGTCTATATAGAACTATCAGTATAGGACTGTCTATATAGAACTATCAGTATAGGACTGTCTATATACAACTATCAGTATAGGACTGTCTATATAGAACTATCAGTATAGGACTGTCTATATACAACTATCAGTACAGGACTGTCTATATAGAACTATCAGTATAGGACTGTCTATATAGAACTATCAGTATAGGACTGTCTATATAGAACTATCAGTATAGGACTGTTGTTATAGAACTATCAGTATAGGACTGTCTATATAGAACTATCAGTATAGGGTTGTCTATATAGAACTATCAGTATAGGACTGTTGTTATAGAACTATCAGTATAGGACTGTCTATATACAACTATCAGTATAGGACTGTCTATATAGTACTTATGATATGACTTGTTATAGGACATTTGCAAGTCATTTTCTCATAAAAAGATCTTTGAACCGATGGTGTGTGGAGTGGTCACACTTATTTTTGGTTACTCTATTTTAACTTGAGGTATCCTTGGAGTCCAGGGACATCTTCATCTTTTATTTTTTATTGTAAATGGATACGTTTTCCCATAAAACCTTCCTGTGTCTTTCTGGTACAAATATTAATGATTGTTGTTCTGGTACAAGATTTTAAAATTTGTTTAAGTATGAGTCTTTATTTATTTTATGATGAGTGAATACTCACTAGCCTGTGGCTGGCATTTACTGTACAATGAATGACACAGGCCTGTGGCTGGCATTTACTGTACAATGAATGACACAGGCCTGTGGCTGGCATATACTGTACAATGAATGACACAGGCCTGTGGCTGGCATATACTGTAAAATGAATGACACAGGCCTGTGGCTGGCAGATACTGTACAATGAATGACACAGGCTTGTAGCTGGCATACCAGTTTATAATAAGATATTTGATGTGTACAATTTTTATCTGTTACAACTTGTTGATGTATTGCTAGAGAAATATGAACAGAAGATATTATGAACAGTTATGACAATCACCTTTATTTACACTTTGTCATAGCTGCTACACATTTTATGTTAAAAGGGACAATTTAGTGTTAGCTATCACAAATAAAATTGATCAGGGTCACATTAACTATACCACTTTTAATCAAAACAAATTCTTTGATTATAACCACAGTGGGTTCCAGGAGACATGTGAAGCAATACCTTAACAAGACGATAACAAGTAAGGAGATATTCATTTATGTAAAGTATTTATGTACGTTTTCAATCTGTCTCCTTGATTTTGACATTGTACATGGAATACTGTTAACTTAGAATCTCAGTATTCAAAAAACATATACTTGTGTTTAAAAACATTGTACATAGAATACTGTTAACTTCGAACTACATATACTTGTGTTTAAAAACATTGTACATAGAATACTGTTAACTTCGAATCTTAGTGTTCACAACACACATATTTGTGTTCAATAAAAACATTTTACATAGAATACTGTTAACATAGAATCTCAGTATTCACAAAACACATACTTGTGTTTAAAAACATTGTACGTAGAATACTGTTAACTTCGAATCTTTGTGTTCACAACACACATATTTGTGTTCATTTGAAATCTGTACATGGTAGTATCAAGTAACGTTGGTATATACTCATTAAAAGTGAAATAAGTGGACAGCCATCACTCTTTCAAACTAAAAATTTTCCCTATGTTTATTCAATTACAGTGAAACCTACTTCTTCATGATATTCTGTTTACCAGATAAAGTTATGGTATAGCATTTACCTGATAAAGATATAATATTCCGTTTTTCAGATAAAAATATGATATACCATTTGCGAGATAAAGATATGTACTGTTTATCCGATAAATATATAATATTCCGTTTTCCAGATTTTGTTATCAGCAGTGTATTATGAAAACTGAGCATGCTATTTCGGTCATGAGAACCGGAAGTGAGGCAACTACAATTGTCAAACTTATTAATCAAAAAGGAGATGAAAAACAGGGTTGTATGAAATGGATAATTACATTTTGTAACAATTATAATAAAAAATTAATGATTACTTTAATATTTGTAAACACAGTCATATCACATGCAAAATAGCTTCTACTTTCACTTTCAGTTATGTTTCTAGCCGAGTTGATTTGAAAGCAGAATAGATTAAGTGTAATGCAATATTCAGTTATGTTTACCTCTAATATTGATCGTTATCATTTTATTAATTATCATGATTTGCTGGTTTAGCTAAGAAAATTTTTTTGTTTTTAACAGACTCCCATTTTGTGAATTGCTACAATGATCATGGTACATTATTCTTGTGGCCTGTAAATCGTGCAATATAAGCAGTTTTTAACAAATGAAATTATGGTAATATCTCAATTGATTCACTGATTGTCAGTGGGGAGTAATTCAGCAGGTATTGTTTATTAGGCTATATCCTGACAGAGATTGATCACAAAACCAGCTATACTTGATTGTCCCTTTTCATCTATTTTTACTGTCGTATTAATTATGGTATTATTGAATTGTACAAAAAAGTTGTGTTCATCTGTAGGTTCATGCATAATATAACTGAACTGTACAGACAATTTATGTCTCCATTAGATTCATAATTGTACAGTCTGTGTCCCATGTCTGTAGATCTATGTTTCGGTAAATTTGTGTTTAATAGATTTGTGTTTGAGTAAATTTGTGTAAAATCACTTTTACTGCCATGACTGATAATCTCAATGCTGAAACAGAAGGTGCAATAGGAATACATTATCCTGTTATCAACTATTTCATTAGTTTTATTTATTAAAGTTGGTTGTATTGAATGATATTCTGGTTTTTTTCATTATAACATTTTTAACGGCCTGTCAACACATAAAAGGTCATTTGGGTCATCAACCGATGAACGATACAGTGATTCAAAAGATAATAACACCAATGAAACTAAAAGTTAAAAGTCAAATGTTTAAAATCTCACATAGATATCTTACAAAAGAATGAAATAGTAAGTCTGTATTGAATGATATTCAGAAATTGTTTTAATTGATCTGGAGCAAAGGGCTCCATTTTAGATGCAGCCTTATCTGTGTTTGAAGTAATTTCAAAATTGTCAACAATACCTCACCAATTTTCACATTCACAAACTAAACTTGTACTCCAATTATTCAATCCACAATGACTGTGGAAAAAGCTCAACCAAACGACAGCAGCATAGTTTTCATTAAGTAAATTTAAGCAGTGTGTCTTTGAGTTTCAAATACCAACAGCTGTGATATGTCATTGATAAGTTGTTTCATTGCTCACAATTTCGGTATAATGATCAGGTATGATATATTGAGAAATACTTACTGCACATATTCACGAGTAAATTAAACTTGCTCAGGAAAAGGAAGTGAATGACAAGCAACAATCAAAAGATTTCTGATGGACAACTACAGGTCGTGAAATGTGATCAGCCACTGATATTTCCTGAAGATATTCTCAGCAGCACCAGTTACTCTTCAGGGGCTTCAGCAGAGGAATAACCATAGGCAAAACTCCAAGGCCTGTAGTTTGACAATCCCTTTTTTGGGTGTTTTGAGGTCACAGACCGTCCTTTTCTGTGCGGTTGTGTCTTTGGGCAACACACTTTAAATGCTCTGGATAGCATACAACAGACCTCTTGTATGATGTTCACGGGAGTAGTCACCAGCTTCTATTAGGAGACCCAACTCCAAAATGACCAGCTGCTATAAGGAGACCTCCCTTCAAAATGACTGTGGCTGCTCACAGGACAATAAACTAAGCAAACAAATGTCATCAAATTACAAGGTTTACACCTCAATGGTCTAAATTTTTCCCTTGTGATATGTTACGACTTTTATTACACATTTGATTCCAGACACAGTATAATTGGCTGACTTATGCTGTTGTAGAATCCTGTTTTTATGCTTCCCAAAAATTTTCAGGGGGAGTATATAGTCACTGCCTTGTCTGTCCATCCGTCCTTTTGTGTGGAACTGAACTTTGCCCACAGTTTAGCATGGATCATGAATGAAATTTGGTGTATGCATTGGTACAATGTCCTTATGTACCTAATTCAGGGCCTGCAACCCACTTAATTACAGAATTATTGCCCTTTATTAAAGTTTGGTTTCCAATACAGTTATTTTCGCGGAACATTCATCAGTTTCACCGATACTCTTGTATAAGATATTAATTCATATCACATGACCTGAGACGTCATGAAATATTAATTACATATCAAGAGCACACTTTGATATATCATGACATTACGACAGAGAGAAGACATTGAGCCAAAGACTTCAACAATGAAATGGTAAAAACATTTCACACAATAAATTTGTTTCTGTTACATTAAGTGTAAGGGCTTTAAAAACTGAAGGTTAAAAAATTAAAGTGGAATTAATTAAAATCCCATATAAGAAGGTTGAGAGTAGATCCCTGGGAATGTGAAGATGTCTGTGTTCAAGGTCTGCAGGAACCAAGAGTCTCTATCTTAAGCCCATCATCCAATGATGAGCTATTCAAATTGCCCTTATGTCCATGGTCCGTCTGTCCCTCTGTAAACAATTTTTGTAATTGCTATTTCTTGAGAAGCACCAGATGGACCTTTCTCAAATTTCATATGTAGGTTCCACTTGATCCCTAGTTATGTCTGTTCGATTTTGGGACAGATCAGAAAAACAAAATGGCCAACAGGTGGCCATCACTGATTTTGACTTTGAAAGTTTGTACTCACTATTTCACTACTACATAAGTCTTTCTCAAATTTCATGTGTAGGTTCCACTTGATTCTTAGTTGTGTCTATTCGATTTTGGGACTGATCAGAAAAACAAAATGGCTGACAGGCCTCTATCTTGGATTTTGCCTTGTCAAGTTTGTTATTGTTATTTCTTAAGAAGTACTGAATGGATTTCTCTCAACTGATCAGAAAAAAACAAAATGGCTTCCAGCTGACCATCTTTGATTTGGCAATTAAAGATTATTATTGTTATTTCTGCAAAGGATTAATGTTCAAATTAATTGAGAGAAAAAACGGAGATGAGACGAGATAAAAAATGGAAAAAGATCCAACGCTCAAACAGCAAATAAAGATCAAACAATGGTGGGCGACAAGATCCCTCTGGCATCTCTTGTATATTGATACACAACAAATACTTGATAAACAACTAACCTATTTATTATTTTGAGGTGAAACATTTTACTTATACATATCCCAAAATATAACGTAGATGATAAACTATAAACAAACTTTCACAATAGTAAACTTTGTTTTACCATAGAAACGACAACAGTATTAACAGTAAACATGACCTCAGTTAAAAAATGTCATAATCCTTGAACAGAGAAATTCCAAAACAAGATCTTAAGTTTCATCTCAATCAGTCGAGCTGATTATATAAACACATGCAATTTTCAGTCAATTCTTTTTTTTTTTGTAAAAATTATGACCTCAATCTTCTGACCAATAAGAATATCAGCACTTTAAATACTGTTAAAGGTATGTCAAGGACAAACAGGTGTGTTTAGTTTGATTGAAAATAGATCTAGTTGGGTGATAAAGAGGGCTGAGAGAGTGAAATTCTATTTTTAGAAAATAGTGATCTTGAAATTTTTATCAGGCAGTTCTAAAAATCCAAGGTCAACGCATTAAGGTCCACTCAGGTTTTTCGATGAAATGTGTTGTATAAAGGATGTTATGATTGTGAAATTCTTCTATTTAATGCCCTGTAAATGATCATTCAAGTACAGAAACTTGTCCCAGATCTATTCCAAGCAGAAAAAAGCTGTAAAGCTGAAATTTTGTAAAGAAATATAGTCACTAGTGTTGTCAGACAGTCTGACATACAGAAAAATGGAGACTTGTACAGCTACTACCCAGCTTAGTGTAGCAAGGCATACAGCTGTGTATAAATATCTAACATTGTTATCGCAATTTTTATTAAATTATTTATTTTGATATGTATGTTGATATATCAGATTCTAAGTGCAGTTAACAAGTTTAGAAAATGCTAAATATGGCAGCTGTGGCTTTGCAGAAAATTAATACAGACATGGCACCAGTAGACAACACCAATATATACCAAAGGTTTTAAAAGTGTTGTACACAATTTCTAGTACTCGTTATAAAACATATGTACAGCCTTCCAATATATGTACAGTGTACTTAAATTTATCATAAATTGTTCACAGATCCTTGAAATTTCTTGTACAGTGTACTTAAATTTATCATAAATTGTTCACAGATCCTTGAAATTTCTTGTACAGTGTACTTAAATTTATCATAAAATGTTCACAGATCCTTGAAATTTCTTGTACAGTGTACTTAAATTTATCATAAATTGTACACAGATCCTTGAAATTTCTTGTAAAGTGTACTTAAAATTATCATAAAATGTTCACAGATCCTTGAAATTTCTTGTACAGTGTACTTAAATTTATCATAAAATGTATATAGATCCTTAAAGTTGTGAAGTTTGGGTAAACTTCTCATATGGTAATTACCAGACCACCAAACAAACAGTCAATTAACTATAGTAATAACTTATTTCCTAGCAATAAAAAAGTAACAAAAATTTATCAAGACATAAACACAAACTCCCTTCCAGCAGGAGTATTAATATTTTGACATTTACAATTTTGATAAAGCACCTTGACATCTTCCCTCTCATAAAACTCTAGCACTCTACAACTACAAATATATGGGTCTGTAGAAATAGGTAGATGAATTGTTAGCCTATCTCACTGTTTTAGTGTGTGGCCCCTCAGGTTTAGTGGTCAGAATATACTCTTAGATTTCCAATCTTCAAAATTTACCTATGAAAATCGGAGATGAATTTCATCCAACTGATTTTTATCGATAAAGAGATATCATTTTCATCATAACCAAGTCTGATGACAGTTTCTGTATCTAATATAGCCCTATCCTGCAGGACGTTAAAGGATGGACGCCATACGATTTATATCTTTGGTTCATGTTTAACCAAGAAATATTTCCAGGAACATTCATGAAGCTAAATAATGTTCCCCATTACCCCTAAATGAGGGTCAAAAACCAAACATATTAATGAAATTCAAGACTTACACTCCTGATTTCAAAGGGCTCTCCTTTGCATTATTCGGGAACACTGATTAAAAATCTGATTCATTTATGAATATAGAACTAACAATACCAGATGCTTGGGTCTGAAGGGCCACATACTTCATCCAAACTATCTACCATTTCTTGACCCAACAATGCCCAAAACAAAATCAACTCAAAACCTGCTTAGCTGTATCAAGACTAGCAGCATTTTGAAAAGAAAACATTTAAGACCCTATGGCAAGGCTAGCATATAACGAACAAAGTCACTGGAATGTTTGCAGTAGTTAACTCCACCATCATAAAAACATGTTCAATTCTGAACTTTGATTGTAGGCAGTCTGCTAAGGTGCGGTAGCTGATACATAGAGATGTACATTAACGAAGATTCCACTGTTGTCACATTCTTTCAGTTCTGCTGTGTTGATTCAGCCTATTTTCTTTGCAAAACCTACAAAACAGAAAACATTCATTTATAATAATGAGCACTAGATATCTTACTGTTTTGACTGTTACATTTATTTTGTCATAAAAATCTGGAAAATAATTGACAATTCCCATAAAGATATCTATTTTTGCAGACAGTGTATAATTAGTTTACCACATACAACTTCAGCCATTTAAAGTCATAACCAGACTCTCTTATTTTAGCCGACATATTTCTATCACTATGGAGCAGGTACTGAAAGTAACTAAGTCTTTCTAATCTACCATTTACCAGTTTAGGTTAAAGTAATTACAGGTCTAATTCATAATACAATGTTCAGTAAATTTCACCTTTTGATTCAAGCATGACAGCAATATCACGGTCCTCTTCCAGATATCTATCAAAAACAAAAATTAGAAAATTAGAATTTATCTTTTGTTAGTCAACTAGGCCCACTTTTACGCAGGCAAATAAGTTTATCAACATCTTAAAATTATTCTCGATACTGCAGCGGTTATGGGCACATTCGCGCTCTGCATCTCTTGAACATGTCATGGCAGAATTGAAGGTTTCATGTACTATGCCTTGTGGACAAAACAAAACAAACAATTTGATCCTCTGATGTACATCAAAAGAATCTTGAGGTCGCATAATCTTCAAATCTTCAAAAGGAGTGCATCAGCCTGTGATTAATCAGTATTTTCTCCTGGAACCAATTAGAACAACTTCGCTTGTACTTCAATTTTGCCATGACTTGTTCCAAGGATGTAGAGAGTGGAGGTGGAGTATTGAGGATGTTTTAAAAGAAGATGCAACATTTTGGGTTTAAAACAGGATAGCTTGAAGATGATAATAAATGTCTCCCGAGGGATTATCAAGGCTTGTTAGAAAGCAAACTAAAATCAGTAAGTTGAAACAAGCCACCGGTATCCAAATGGTCAACTGATAAACAAAAATGGACAGATTTTCTACATCATGTCTAAAGGTCATGTCTCATGAACGTGTCATGATCTTGTATCTTGTTTACCTGGTGTGTCACATCCCGATGTCTAGAGTCACAGGTCGTCATGAGGTAAAATATCTCTCAATAATAGTACCAAGGGAGACAACACCTCCCTGTTATTGTCTACCAAAGTGAGGAATAAGAATGTTTCTCTTAAAAATGTCTGTTAAGTATTTCCTATCAAAATGAGACAACTGTGTTGAGATACAAAGAGGGTACCAGTGGCATTTGTTTTTACTATTTATAAAGACTATAAATAACCTGTATTTACCCACCTGATTCTGTCGTCATCCTGACTGTCCACGATAATACTGCGTTGATTGACAACGTCTATCAGTTTCTGTAATAGTAGCTCTTCCTCCTGTTTCTCCTCCTCTGTTTTTTCTCCATCTGTCAAACAACATTTCTGTTATATCACTGGTAGGTAGCAATATATCTCTCTCAAAGCAAATCTTTTCATTTATTTGTTTGTTTGCCTGGTTATCACCCTGAAAACAGACCACATTGTCGAGAGAAACACAAAATACCAGAGGTAGGAAGTATCAAACCTTGCGCCCTAAATCTTCACCTTAGGTTACGCTGGCCTAGGCTCTACTGACTGAGCTATCACAACTCCACTAAACATTGGCCAAGGCTCTATTGACTGAGCTATCATGACTCCACTAAACATTGGCCAAGGCTCTACTGACTGAGCTATCACGACTCCACTAAACATTGGCCAAGGCTCTACTGACTGAGCTATCACGACTCCACTAAACATTGACCAAGGCTCTACTGACTGAGCTATCACAACTCCACTAAACATTGGCCAAGGCTCTACTGACTGAGCTATCACGACTCCACTAAACATTGGCCAAGGCTCTATTGACTGAGCTATCACAACCCCACTAAACATTGGCCAAGGCTCTACTGACTGAGCTATCATGACTCCACTAAACATTGGCCAAGGCTCTATTGACTGAGCTATCACAACTCCACTAAATATTGGCCAAGGCTCTACTGACTGAGCTATCATGACTCCACTAAACATTGGCCAAGGCTCTATTGACTGAGCTATCACAACTCCACTAAACATTGACCAAGGCTCTACTGACTGAGCTATCACAACTCCATTAAACATTGACCAAGGCTCTACTGACTGAGCTATCACAACCCCACTAAACATTGGTCAAGGCTCTACTGACTGAGCTATCACAACTCCACTAAACATTGGCCATGGCTCTACTGACTGAGCTCAAGGCTCTACTGACTGAGCTATCACAACTCCACTAAACATTGACCAAGGCTCTACTGACTGAGCTATCACAACTCCACTAAACATTGACCAAGGCTCTACTGACTGAGCTCAAGGCTCTACTGACTGAGCTATCACAACTCCACTAAACATTAGCCAAGGCTCTAGTGACTGAGCTATCACGACTCCACTATAAGTTAGCCAAGGGTCTACCATAAGACAAATTGAGATCTTTCCTACATCATTAGCAGTTACTAAAATCAGGTTTTTATTTTTCATATGAAACAGTAAATAGTTATTGCGATAACTCTCCATGATGAAAATCCAAAGTCCCTGAGATTATATGGTTAAGATGTAGATGAACAATTCTGAGATGATCCCTTTGTAATAAGATAAAAGGCTTCTGAGATGATCCCTTTGTAATAAGATAAAAGGCTTCTGAGATGATCCCTTTGTAATAAGATCAAAGGCTTCTGAGATGAGCCCTTTGTAATAAGATCAAAGGCTTTGAGATAATCCCTTTATGATAATATAAAAGGCTTCTGAGATCATCCCTGTAACATAATGATAATGAGTGTTTTGAGATCATCCCTATATGAAGATAAAGAGTTTTTGAGATCATCCCTATAAGATGAAGAGTTTCTAAAATCACCTGGTTTTTCCAGCAGCTCTCGGATTTGCCTATCAATATCTTGTTGTTCGTCCTCTAGTTCCTGTGTCCTAGATCTGAAGATAGATAATCAGTTAAATGACTTGTACCACACTAACAAATTATGTACAGCAAATATTCAGAAATTTTATTAAAAAAGAATTTACAATATACCCCCTCTTTTGTAACGGTATTGCAACTATTTTCATTCAGTCTATTCCATCTCTTTTGTTTTAACTTTCAGAAGATCAAGCAGTCATCCACAGAAAATAATACGAAGCAGAATACATGCTGTTTCATTATATCAAACCTCATGACTTATTTAGAATACTTTCTAAGTAATTTAGTTCTGTAAGGAGAAAACCATTCAGTCTCATGGATATTTATAGTTGAAAATATCAAAACACTGGGGATATACATAAATATAAGGACAAGAAATGAAATCTTACGCATATATAAGGTCTGCTTCCTTCCTGACCAATTCATTTTTGTCATTGACCATCTGAAACCATTCCATCATCATTGTTTCATCCTCCTCAGGGGCTGGAACAGGTTAAAACAGGTAAAACAATTACAGGTAAAAACATACATGGAACATGCATACAGGTAAAAATGTACAGGTAACATCAACAAAGATAAAACCATACAGGTAACATTAAACAGGTAAAATCCTATAGGTACACAAGTGAATGGTTGATACGGAAGGAACACAAGGGAATGGTTGATAGGGAAGGAACACAAGGGAAAGGTTGATACAGAAGGAACACACTGGAGAAAGGTTGATACAGAAGGAACACAAAGGAACGGTGGATACAGAAGGAACACAAGGGAAAGGTTGATACAGAAGGAACACATGGGAATGGTGGATACAGAAGGAACACAAGGGAAAGGTTGATACAGAAGGAACACAAGGGAATGGTTGATACAGAAGGAACACAAGGGAATGGTTGATACAGGAGGAACACAAGGGAATGGTTGACACAGAAGGAACACACAGGAGAAAGGTTAACATAGAGGGAACACACAGGGGAAAAGTTGATACAGAAGGAACACACAGGAGAAAGGTTAACATAGAAGGAACACACAGGAGAAAGGTTGATACAGAAGAAACACACTGGAGAAAGGTTGATACAGAAAGAACACACAGGGGAAAGGTTGATACAGAAGGAACACACAGGAGAAAGGTTGATACAGAAGGAACACACTGGAGAAAGGTTGATACAGAAGGAACACATAGCAGAAAGGTTAATACAGAAGGAACACACAAGAGTAAGGTTGATACAGAAGTAGCCCAGTGTAAAAAAATATGCACAAGAAACATTGAAGAGAAATATACCTTTTCTGATAGAGTCTTCCAAACGGCGTCCACGTTTCTCAAGATCTGTCAATTTTGAGTCAATGTGGGCTAGTTCACTTTGGATTTCCATTGGCGACATTTTCCGGAAGTCTCCCTGGAATGAGGTGAACAACATGTCTATGGATATCAAGACCAAACCAAACTTTCATCTATTTGATTAGATTGTTTCTTATCCTTGCTTAATAAAAATTGAAACAAAATGTGATTACAAAGAAAACTTATCGAAAACTTTAATCCATTTCTTTAATCAAGAGGCTCATAGGGCCTGAATCTCTCCAATGACTTTGCTAGGCTGAAAGTGCTTCATCAAAACTAAAGGAAAATGAATTCTCAGTATTCAAATACACAACATGTAATATATCTATCTTCCCATTGTGCCCCAGCCCTCTGTCCCATAAGGGTCAGCAAAACCATTCATGCTTAACACCAGACCAATGAAACAGAATCCTGCCATTAGATCAGAAAAAGAATTCTAAAAAACTTGTTCTAATTCCCCTATAATGGTTTCTGTTTCTCCTGAATTTGTTCTTTTTCCCTATTGGGCTTCACCCATCCAGTCCCAGGCGGCCAAGACTCATCATTTATACAACAGTGATTCAACTTCACACAAGAAGGCTTCAGACCAAATTTGGGCAAAAGCAAATGATTCCTACAAAAGTAGTTAGATTTTTTCAAAATTTGATCTATTTCCACTACTGGGCCCCACCCCTCCTGTCACAGGGGGCCTAGACCCACAATTTATACTAAATTGATTCACCTTCACCAAAGAATGCTTCAGACCAAATTTGGATAAATTTTAATAAGAATTTGTTCTATTTAAATTCATATGCCCTGCCCCTATGGCCCGAGACCCATTGTTCAGCTGATAAGCTCTTCTATAGTTGTTCAGACACAATGATCACAAATCTCAGACTTACAATCTTCTGCAGTTGTTCAGAAGGAGTGACCACAAATCTTGGACTAACAACCCCTTTTGTAGATTTTAGCATGCACAACAAAGACCTTTGATGAACTTAATTACTAACTTTAAGGAAGAGCCCTGTTGATAAATATTGGTAACAAACTTCTATAGCCAAAATTCAAAATGGTGGCTGGCAGCTATCTTAGTCATCCAATCAAATTCAAAATGGTGGCTGGCAGCTATCTTAGTCATCCAATCAAATTCAAAATGTATCATTCAAATCTAGAACCCATGATACTAACCATGTTGATATAAAATTATCTTTCAAGAATATTTCTTATCAAACAGCATCAAAAGTCTAAATCCAACATGCTGGTGGTCATTTTGAAAATCTGATCAATTTTTATTCCTTCTTGAAAAACAAATCTACCAACTTTGAAAATTTAAAATGGCCACTGTCTGCCATCTTGAATACCTGATCAAACTCAAAATGTGATAGGCTAAAACAAGAGTTATTGAAAAAACTTAAAGTTACGAGGTGAAAACCTTCAGTTGTCAATATTCAAAAGGGCTGCTGTATCCAATTTTGAATATACAACCAAACAAAAAATTGGGATGTACAACCAGGACGGGACAAAAACATGACAATTGCCCAACACAGACTAGAGTATGTAAAGAGAGAAAAAAACAATACTCACATCTTTCAGCCAGCCAGGAGATCTTGGGGTGGTTGGAGGTTTTTGTTTCTTAATGGAACGTCTTGGCTCCTTAATATTGTGAGGAGACGGTTGAGGGGGGCGTGGAGGAGGTGATTTAGAGCTCTCCTTCAAATCTGTTTCTTCAAAATCAAATTTTGTATTTACCGTAATTTTCTTTAAATTTTTTCTAAAATTTCCTGGTTTTTCTGTGTCAGTTTCCGGTGGAGGAATCGTAACTTTGTTCTTCAGTTGAGGTTTCTTCCCCGATTTCTCTTCTGGCTGAGCCATGTTGTTTTCTACTGATTTTTGTACATCTGTTTTATTCACAGCTATTTTGTGTGTTCCAGCTTGTGAATCTGTATTAGCCACACTTTTCTCTCCCTCTGACTGCCATTTACTAACACTTCTCTCTGCCTTCCACTGCCCCTTACTATCTTCATCCCTGCCAACTTTCTTTGACACGATCTCTGGAGTCTTTGGTCTGACAGGTCGATCTTTAATATCTATTTTATCTTTTGTTTTTTTATCAACTTTGCCGACATCCAAATTTTCTATATTTTTTGTGTCTTTCCCTCCACCTAACTTTCTATCATCATCGTTGTTTGTCTTATCAAGCTGAATCCCACGATTCTTCCAAGCAGGGACATTATCTTGTGTGTTAATTTCATTCAGTGGTTGGTTCTCTCCTGGCTGTTTAGACGGCCTGACGGGTGCTTTTACATCCTTTATTTCATTTCCTGTAGATTTTTCAGCCTCCGTTTTATAGGGAGGTATCACTACACGCTTCATCACACGATGTTTTGGCTGTTCACCGTCGGGCACCAGTTTTGGCTTATCGGCATGAGATGTGTCTGAGGTCATTTTGTCTTTGTGTTCTGAGGAATTTACACCTTCCTCTTTATTTCGTACATTCGCTAGATTCTTAAGAAGTCCTCTCAACACATTTCCTTCTTCTCTTTGTTTTGTTGCAGGTGAAATATCTTGTTTTGGGAGCCTTCCAACTTCCTCCATATCCCTAGGAGTTGTCCCCCTTGGTAGTGACCTTGGAGGTTTTTTAGGTGGTGTTGTATCTACTACTGGCTCTTCTTTTTCATTCTTTGATAGTAACACTGGGGTGTTTCTAGATTTAAGATCAGATGGAGTTTGTGAATTCACTGGAGAAACAGCTTTATTTCTGTCAGTTTTAAAATTCACAGGAGAAGCAGATGTTTCCATAGGAGATTCAAAATTAGATGAAGACTTTAACCTCGGTGGAGACTTTGTTCTAGGGGGAGGCATCATTCCTGATGAATGTTTCTCCACTGAGGGTTCTTTATTTTTGGGGACTGGGGGAGATACAAGAGAAGTGGAATGATTCAGGTCCTGCTTACCTCCCTTTGACAGCAAAGAAGGGGGCAAGGAGGCAGGTAACGGAGGTGGGGAAACAGATGGCACATTTGTTGCTTTAGGAGACTTTTTCCTGGGGGGAACAACAACAGACTTGGAGTCATCTTTTGATTTGATACTACCCCTAGGTGTGGCTCTTGGTTTTAGCTTACCCCCTACAGACACTGGAGATTGTTCCCTTGGGGACGCAGGAGAGTTCTGTCCAGGGGAAGCAATGGAGGTATCCATGGGGTGAGGTTTCTTTCTTGGTATACGTGGTGACACCTGAATTGCTGTTTTCTCACTAATCACATTTCTGTTCGGAGAAACCGATTTTGATGTAGTGTCTGACTTGATTGTTTGAGGGTGTTTCTCTGGTAGCACCTGTTTTTTTGGCGAAGTGTCTTTACTCTCTATTTTGTTTGATACTTGTGAGTGATCAACAGATGGTTTAGCAGAAGGTGTACTCTCTTTCAAAACATTCAACCTAGCTGCAAGGTTTTGAGATTTTCCGCTACCCTTAGCACGCTTTTGCCAGTAGCTCTGCTGTTCTGGTGAATTTGGACGAGCATATATCTTGCTTGTTGGAGACAAATCACTCTGTCGAAAGCATGTACGGTGGTAGAGTTTATTGTTCTCCATCAATCTCTCCATAAGGTACACCTTCTCATGGCAGAGTGTACATTTATCACCAATGGAACTCTTCTTCTCCTGCAAATATAACAATACATAATTAATAACATATCTCTGCCTCGTATATAATAAAGATATTCTTGTTACAAAATCCCCCCCCCCCCCCCCAACCTATTCCTATTCCATTCCCATTGAACTCCCTCCTCCATGTTAAATGTTTCCAGGGTTCAATATTTTCCTCTTTTCGAATATGGAAGAAAACTGCAAAGCATAGATGCCTAGAAAATAAAATAAATTTAAGGTATCTAATTTGATTCTTGATTTCTTTTGAAATAACTTTCTTTTTACTTCAAACTTTCAATAAAACTACAAAATATCTACACTCTTGAAAAAAATCCTTTCACAGTATCCCCATCTTGAAAGGTTAATATGGGATATATTTACAAAAAAGATATTTGCTCTATATCTTGCAAAAACAACTGCAGAAGGAGGGGAAGTAACTCTGCAAAGTGAGGAAGGCTTTACGTACGATTGTTTGGTCATTGGTTTGTTTTTGAGGCGTCATTCGTTTCGGTTGTGGACCTGGTGAATCCTCGTGAGTCTTGTGTCGTTTTAAGGAACTGGTCTTCTGTACACCAGGTCCGCCCACTGTAAACAAAGAAGTATATTTTTGTATAGATGTTTCCCTTACATGTAGTTTTGTTGTGTGTATATGTGTGTTAAGATTGTTAAGGTTTTTTTCTCTCTGCTATTTGTGACAACACAATAAATGTGTAAAAAATAAATTAAATAAATGAACAATAATTATTTGGTGACTTCTGTGAAAAAAAAACATCATTTCTGTGGTCAAAAAAAATGAAAAAGAAAAACGTCTTTTACATAATACCCAAATCAAGTTTATATTTTCTCAATGAAAAACTGAGACATCTAAAAAATGATACAGGTCAATGTAAACATCAGACAGTAATTAAAGATTCCTGATCTTACACTGTGGTTTGTCATGAAAGTAATTGTAGTACTGGGATACGTAGGTAACCACACTGAGTCTGTCTGGAACCCGGATCGCTACCATGTCCTCAGCCTCCAGTAATGCTGGAATCCCCAACTCGTTCTCAGCCACCTCAAAAGCCTGCAAATCGTACAACATAAAATTGATACCCGTATGAATCTACCGGTTTCCTTTTCCTACATTTTGATATGAAACCTCAGAATTCAAGCATTTAAGAGTAGTGATGAAATCTAGTTAATTATTTGAGTGATAATGGACCATCTATCAGTTACTGGAGTGATGAAATTTTTAGTTGTTAAAGAACTGATGAAACCTATCTTAGTTATTGGGTGATGAAACACTTAGTGGTTATGGAAGTTAAAACCTATTGAAACCTATTGCAGTTACGGGATGAAACATAGCTATAACAGTTACCACAGTAAATAACACATGTAATTCGTACTAATTACACATATTGTTAAATTTGAAAACACCAGTGGGGACTGACCAATAGGGAGGTGAAATCATATGTGCCAACAGTTGCCATTTCATTGAAAATGGACTGAAAAGTCTGATTACTAAGCAGGTCAACCTGTAACAATGTCAATACAGAGATTAAGATAAAATGGGCAAATCTTTTGCCTATTCTAACCTATCTTTTGTTATGTGACTGTGTTAGCTATAATTCAAATTTTAAAAAATCTTACCAACTGATTGTTCTCAAAAACATTTTCCTTCGACAGTGAATCAAAATCTCTGCAAAGAATTAGAACAAAGGTAAACAGCATGCAGGTTAACGCTTCAAACTTCAGGAGCATGTGATTTTACAACATAAAAACAAAATTCTTGATGACATCTGTCATCTGATACATCTTATGATTACATGCCATGTTTCACTTATCTAAAACATTCTTAACAGCAACGATACAGTCGACGGTATAAAGTTCATTGAAGCATGAAATAAACATCAAATTCAGCATCCATTTCAACCCTACCTACGTCATTGATGTAAATGTACTATCAACCTACTTTCTTTCCGTGCAATTCACTTTTGCAAATTTTTGCAGTGGTCTCACAAATTAATTAGTGTGTTGTGTTAAATCTAACAGACATTAACTGGTTGTGAGGAGGAAATCAGGAAGGTACTGAGTGTTAGTTAACAGCAATCGATAAGATTTCTCCGTAACCCATAACCATTCCAACAGCTCTGAGAGTCATCTATGTATGAATCAAGTGTTTTGAAATAAAACAATGCAAATAAAATGAAGCCCAAATTCAGCATCAGCAACATGCATTCAGCCAAAAGCAACACTAATCATAGTTCCATAATCACAAGATGCATGATGAACGCTTTATATGTTACACGTTAGACAATATGTAACACTATAGCACTTATACAGGTACGTCAGACAATATGTAACACTATAGCACTAATATTATATAGGTATCTAATCAGAGTTGGATATAGGTATAATCCATGTTACTGTTATGTAGGCCATATCTAGTCAGTGTTAGATATAGGTATAATCCATGTTACTGTTATGTAGGCCATATCTAGTCAGTGTTAGATATAGGTATAATCCATGTTACTGTTATGTAGGCCATATCTAGTCAGAGTTAGATATAGGTATAATCCATGTTTCTGTATGTAGTCCATATCTAGTCAGAGTTAGATATAGGTATAATCCATGTTTCTGTATGTAAACCATATCTAGTCAGAGATAGATATAGGTATAATCCATGTTTCTGTATGTAGACCATATCTAGTCAGTGTTAGATATAGGTATAATCCATGTTACTGTATGTAGGCCATATCTAGTCAGTGTTAGATATAGGTATAATCCATGTTACTGTATGTAGGCCATATCTAGTCAGTGTTAGATATAGGTATAATCCATGTTACTGTATGTAGACCATATCTAGTCAGTGTTAGATATAGGTATAATCCATGTTTCTGTATGTAGACCATATCTAGTCTGAGTTAGATATAGGTATAATCCATGTTACTGTTATGTAGACCATATCTAGTCAGTGTTAGATATAGGTATAATCCATGTTACTGTATGTAGACCATATCTAGTCAGTATTAGATATAGGTATAATCCATGTTTCTGTATGTAGGCCATATCTAGTCAGAGTTAGATACAGGTATAATCCATGTTTCTGTATGTAGGCCATATCTAGTCAGAGTTAGATATAGGTATAATCCATGTTACTGTATGTAGACCATATCTAGTCAGTATAAGATATAGGTATAATCCATGTTACTGTATGTAGACCATATCTAGTCAGTGTTAGATATAGGTATAATCCATGTTACTGTATGTAGGCCATATCTAGTCAGTATTAGATATAGGTATAATCCATGTTACTGTATGTAGACCATATCTAGTCAGTGTTAGATATAGGTATAATCCATGTTACTGATATGTAGACCATATCCAACCAGAGCATTTGCATCATATTTCTAGTGACATCTCTCTCTCTTTCTCCTGGTTTCTCTTTCATGCTGACTGGTTTCTCTCTGCCATTGTGTTAATTGTTAAACAGAAGAAATGATGTTTGGGAACTTTTCATCTTAGATTTCTGTATTACAGTAAGAAATACATCTATCAAAAAATTCAGATGAACAAGCGGTAACAACATATTTTTTTTTTCATACGTCAGACGAGCAGAATGCCAGTCGGGTATATATTCTTTCATTCTGTTGTATTTTGCCAGAAATTGCTGCTTAGGACAAAGGCTCCACACTTGCTTTAGGACTGTACCATCTGTGTATTATGTATAAGCACAAGTTATTTATCTGTTGTACAAGCACATGTATGGGGGCGGGACATGGTTCGTAAATGTGAAGGGGTGTGGTCAGTACATATAGGTGGTCCTTGTACCTGTATTTTCATTTTGCAAACAAACTGACGTGTACATTAAGCCCCACACACCCGCCCCTGATGACTTGACATATAACGGATGTGAACTTTCGTACGTTTTAGTTCAATGTTAGTTTACAGATCCATGGAGTCTGGTCTAAGGAGGATGCTTCATGCTACAGAGAGGATAGTCACCACAAGCAGAAGATGAAGTTTGAAACCTGTTGCTGATTTATGTTGTATTTTTGGTGAAAGATAGTGAAACACATGCCAGTTGCATAACACATAGCCTTTCTCCCAAATACATGTTGAGTTAAAGTGATAAAGAATTCATGTTCATTAGGATGGAGTGAATTTGAAACGTAGTTTTTTGTTGTGTAACATTTCTAAACTATGGATTAGTTTACCCACTGACTCTGATGGTAAATTACTACTCTTTGACCAGTAGACTGCTAAAACTTACTACAGCAATGTTGCTATGGTGACCTGTCTTCCAGCTACCATCAAGTCCCAATATTTATCAAAAGACTCTCCTTTGTTTGATATAACTGATGAATTAGCTACAGCTATCCTTTCACAGCAATAATCTGTTGCTGGGTTAGTCTAAGCATGAAAGCAGCAAAAGCAGTGATTTTTTTCTACCCCATCAGACAGAAATATCCACACTTCCAGTGACATCTCTACCCTTACCCCAGCAAAACAGCCAGGAAGTAACATATCGGGTTCTTATAATCGTAAATGACATCATTTTTTAGGACATGTCGGGTCAGTTGGAGTCATTGACGTCATTAACATTTGTCATCCTGGCCTCAAATGCAAATAACTTTACTGATGGTTATAATGTCACATGTATATATATTTGTTTTTCTATCTCAAAGGATCATTCCCTACCTTGAGATTAGGACAGACTACTCACGGAGGAGACTCCTGACAGCCATACCCTGGGCAAAGCCTCGGTTTAGACAATCAAGAATCTTCTCCTCAGGTAGAGATTTCTCTGTCCTACCCTCCAGCAAAGGAAAGATCCTATAAGTCCATCACAATTGACATTTAGGAGTATCAATATAGACTGTCTATGTCTTTCTTGTGTTATAAATACTTGTGTAAATTGTCTATGAAGGTGCATAGTAATCCTGACAAACAGTACAAAATCATGTTTGATCGGGCCATGCTGATCTATAATCACACATTAAGTTAAGCCATAGGAAACAGGAAATTGGAAAAGTAGGTCAACATCTGTAACAGTCAAATTCATTTGGTAGAGCAACCCTTGCTGATCACTGATCTATATATATCCTGACTAAACAACTGTCTGTTTATATGATCTATAATCCGTTGAACCTTCCATGGATATCATCCACACTTATTTGATGGAACATCACACAAAGCATTTATACCTATTTGCTTTCTGACAGTCACATTTGCCACTGCACTAATTACAAGTGGTGTGACCTTCAACTTTTCATTGACCTGAGCAGTGACCTTCACCTTTTTCTTACCTAAGGTCTGACCTTCACCTTTTATACTTACATGAGTGTGAGCTTTACCTTTTTATTGACCTGAGCTCTGACCATCAACTCTTTTACTTACATGAGGTGTGACCTTCACTTTTTCACTGACCTGAGCTCTGACCATCAACTCTTTACTTACATGAGGTGTGACCTTCACCTTTTTATTGACCTGAGCTCTGACCATCAACTCTTTTACTTACATGAGGTGTGACCTTCACCTTTTTATTGACCTGAGCTCTGACCATCACCTCTTTACTTACATGAGGTCTGGCCTAAAGCGATGGATGATAGCACAGCATGCCAGTCCGTCCTTCCATGATGACGTCATGTCCGTCACAGAGACATCCCGATACCCTTCCACTATCGTCTTACACCACATTTGAAGCTTCTTCACCTTAGTCATCGCCATGGTGATGGAAATTCCCGAGATTCACCGCCAGGCAGTCTATGAAAGGTTATACCGCTTCCTAGGACTGCAAGTCCTCATCCATTTCTCATACTTCTTTGAAAATTCTGAAAAATGCATGGCCACTCTTTAACAAATCTGACCACAACTTATCAGTTAATGATTATTGTTGTGGTACTTGGTGACAAAAAGGTCAATGGAGCATGTATCATTTAATCTATATCTAATACTGATGACAATTTACATATTTTACATTGTGATTTATATGTCAAGGTCAAAGAGTATTTCAACCAAATTTAGCAAAAAAGCTACATGATGATTATATAATACTTCAGAGACAACACAGAAGAGGAAACACACACACAGTGAGTCCTGACATCTCCTTGTTGTGGTCCAAGTATAAGAAAATAAAGAAAAAAAACCCCTACCAACTGTGTGAAAGAAACATGCTCTGCCAGCTGTCATTTACAAGCCTCAGCAATCCTTCCTATTACACCAGACACAACCTTTGACCAGTATTTACACATCAAATCCAGGTACGACTTTGCCGAGGGAAGCTTAACAGTTTTTAGTTTTTCTTTAGAAAAAGGGATGAAAAATAATCAATATTTATATAGTGTGTTATAGAGGTATATACCTACATGTGATCGTTGTCACAGGTTTTCACAGATGAGCACCGTCTGTTGCTATTTCCTGCCAATATATCTAACAATGAGATAAGTTATACAGTCAGTGATAAAAGGACCACAATACCTAATAAAATTACAATGCCTGTGTTGATCTTGACACAAGTTTCATTGTTATCAGTGGTGATGATACCTGTGAGGAGGTGTTAGGTATTTATCGTCATCTTGTTTCACTGATAAACCGTATCTACCCTGTAAAAAGGCCAGGTAGTCAATAGGTTGTTTCTGACTCAGCGTCAGGGGATAGGCTTAATCTTTACAGGACATAGGAAGAGTATTTGTTGATAAAATTAGTCAACATCAATACAAAGAAATGGTTTATCACTAAATAAACACAGTAAATGTGATAATCAAGTCAAGAATAAAACTACACTTTGTAGGTACTGTGTTTATACATGGGGCATCATTTCAGAATTAATCTTAATATAATTCATTTAATGAAAGCTATAATTCAAGTTAGTGGTACATGTATCATTGAATATTTATTGATATTACTTAACATAAATAATGATATCAACTATTCATTGATATCATTAATTTGAATGATTTGATATCAATAATTCTGGACAATTAATAATATCATTAATTTGAATTATTTGATATCAATAACTTGTTTAATTATATCACGTTTGGTAACTAAATTCTAAAACAGTACCGCTATTTTCAAATCATACAACTTTCAAATCTGTCACATGTGTCACATGAAGTCATTAATGTTAGTCCTGAAGATCATTTAGGAATGATACTTAACCATTATAACGACACTGGTAAAAATCTCAGTTACAGACTGATGTTCTGTAACAAAATATAAACTGAGACAATGTGACGTACAAGAGGATGTACACTGTAAGTTAAAGACCAAGATAAATTTTGATTTCAAACACATCATGTATAGTTGGGTCCAGTGATTCTGTATGTCTGGTGATCCTGTACATTTGGTGATTCTGTATGTCTAGTGATCCTGTATGTCTGGTGATTCTGTATGTCTGGTGATTCTGTATGTCTGGTGATTCTGTATGTCTGGTGATCCTGTATGTCTGGTGATCTTGTATGTCTGGTGATCCTGTATGTCTGGAGATTCTGTATGTCTGGTGATGCTTTATGTCTGGAGATTCTGTATGTCTGGTGATGCTTTATGTCTGGTGATCCTGTACATTTGGTGATTCTGTATGTCTAGTGATCCTGTACATTTGGTGATTCTGTATGTCTGGTGATTCTGTATGTCTAGTGATCCTGTATGTCTAGTGATCCTGTACATTTGATGATTCTGTATGTCTGGTGATTCTGTATGTCTAGTGATCCTGTATGTCTGGTGATCTTGTATGTCTAGTGATCCTGTATGTCTGGTGATTCTGTATGTCTGGTGATTCTGTATGTCTGGTGATCCTGTATGTCTGGTGATTCTGTATGTCTAGTGATCCTGTACATTTGGTGATTCTGTATGTCTGGTGATGCTTTATGAGTGATGATCCTTTATGTTTGGTGATCCTGTACATGTGGTGATGCTTTATGTCTGATGATCCTGTATGTCTGATTATTTTGTTTGATGATCTTGTATGTCTGGTGATTCTGTATATCAGGTGATCATATATGTTTTCTACATTTCTGATAATCTGCCAAAGGTCACAGCCGGTATGTTTTCACTCAAATAATATCAGGAATAATTTAATATGTGCTTTAGTATGAAATGAATTTTGTGATTTTTGCGAAGAAATAAAAAAAACAGACATGTTTTGGAGCATATTATCATGGGACATGCTGCGTTGTTGCCACAATTATGTACAGATCGTTTTCCTGTTTATAACCCTCATGTTCAAAAACATTTTTCTCAAAGACGAAATAAAACAAAAACAAAACAGAACAAAATATCATCTATGATGAGTGATTTAAAATCTTAAATGTCAGTTGAATACCAGTCATCTACTCTAGTATTGCGTAAAATCCTTGTCTTATTGACTGTCATTGCAGGCATGCGACAGCAAAAAGTCGCGTTCCGACGTTTCCCGATTAAATTTAAGCGAGGATGGATTATTCGGTTAAAACCGCTTATCTGTAGGGAAGACAAAAGTGTAGTACGACAATAAAGACACTACTTACCTCTGTCTTATTGATCGCTATTGGAGTGTTTAACGGTCATACACTTTGTATGAATAAGGAAAACACAACCCGGAAGTCAATTTCTTTACCGTACTCCTAACGGGTTTTACTAAAACGCGGAGCAAAAAACGGACCACAAAGCGGAACAGCCTAAACTGTTTCCTACTGGCAAGTGACAGGACGACTGAACAAATGGCGTGTTGCCCCATGTCCAACATCTTGAATACCACTTAACGTATTCATCAGTACATGAAATACCACTCCTGTGACACACAAGAAAAACATTTATTGATGAAAACTGCAACACAGTTTACTTGTGAACTGTTATGGCGCCAAATCACCGATGCTTTTTGGTGAAGATTGTACAAAAGACACACAAGTGAATAATTTGATAATGTTAAGTTTGATAGAGTAGAGCCGAAGAATGAAGTAAACTCCCTCTGATAACTGTCTCGTCCTTCTAGAACTGGTTAATGATGCAAAGGGCCAAAAATTTTGAAGCCTGGAAGGCGACTCCGAAAAATTCAAAATGATCGAAAGAAAAGTCAAATCTAGACGGGGAGGCGCGGCAATCCCATAATTAAATCAGAGACGTATATGTCTCTGATTAAATCAATTTCATTATCTCCAGTCATTAGAGAATTTCAGAACAGCGTCAAGTACATGTAGATGTATTAAAACGTGGCATGCAGGTTACGGCAAACTTGGGGGCTTTATAGCCTAGCGCCAGGAAGAGTCACTGCTCTCCAGACGGAAACCATTTACACCGCCAACTGACCTCTTGCGTCATTCAGGTTACCTATATTGTTCAGACTTGTTTCGCCAGGAAAGGAGACTTCCCGTGATATCTCGAGACTGAAATTGCTGGTATTTTTTGCCCACTTAAGATTTCATTCTCGACAGATCTTGAGTATAAACAAGTTAAGAATATGAAAGATCCCAAGACCCTATACATTCTGAACAAATCTAGCTAAAGAGTAGTCCTCTCTAGCCGAGTAGTATATTGCGGCTAGTATTTTACCAGGGTTACATTTTCTCCCTCCAGGAAATAACTCGTCCTCGAGTTTCAATGGGACACAGCGATGCTGGTAGGGCACGACTAAGTACTATTCCCGGGTCCCTACATGGGCGCCAACGTGGGAGAGGTCATTATTTATTTCAATGCTTCCGCTAGGAATCGAACCCGGGACCCCTGGCTTACTAATCTGACGCTCAACCAACCCGAGCTAAAGAGAAGTTCTCTCTAGTAGAGTGGTATATTGCGGCTAGTATTTTACCAGGGTTACACATGCATTTTTGGAACATTTTGATAAAGAAAAATATATATTGCCTGATTGAAATGGAAGAATGCTGCCAGACACTGTGATTTTCACCAGATTATCTTACCCTCCTCCATAAAAATATCGTCTTCGAGTTGTTGGGGAGAAATGGCTATGATTACGGTAATGATTTTCATTGTAGTCCGGGTCATGCGCGCTCAACATTATCCTTAAGAGTCGAATACATCTGATTTACTGGGGAGTTAGTAATTTCCAGGAAACGAAACCCACAGTTATCGAACCACACCTTGGAATTGTTGATAGGATATAACAATTATAGACACGATGTCCATAATGTTTGTGCTGTTCACACAGAGTGCTTCACGTCAAAATCATCCTCATTTATCTCTGTGACGTAAGCGGCAACATATATACACTAATTGATGTCACGGAAAAATAGATGATTTATTGAGAATCTTAGTAAAATCAGTAGAAAAACGTTATCATCTAACATTAATTAATTCATTTATTCATTCATATTGATTTAAACATATTTTATTACCAAGTTATTACATCAATCAATCATTCATTCATTTATTCACTCATTCATTTATTCATTCATTCACTCAGTCATTCGCTCATTCATTTTCAGATGGCGAGTGTTGCTGATGAATCTGATAACAGTTGATCATTCGGAACTTATTGTCTTTTTTCTTCATCCTCGCAAGTTAACATTCCTCATTTCCCCCTTATTTAGTGAATTATAATTTGAGTTACGATAATTTTGCCGGCATGTCGATATTCTATCGTTTTTGTCAAAACGCGGGTGTAATTCAATACATCCTGCAAAGAACTTCAGGTTCACTGTTAATTAAGAATTTCCCCTAATAAACCTCACTGGAGTAATTAGTATTTCAAATGAAAGTGTAGAAAAAGATTCAGGATATTGCTCGTGAATCAAAAGTTCTACTATATAAATATCAAGTCAATTAACACTTATTATCTCAAAGGTGATAACTTTTACCGTTCTCACAATATTTTTTATTAAACAACTTAATATTAATAAGTTTTCTAGTGCGTATGTTATTTCAGTGAAACTGTTTGTCGCATCCATATATTCCTACCCTGGTCAGACTATCAGTTGGACTGTAAGCCTTTAAAACCGGAAACGAAAGAGTTTTGCGAACTAACCAGATAAGGAAGGTGGGAAAAGGGTCGTTTTTTGAGCTTATACGGATAAACCCGTCTTTAGTGTGGTTTTCTTACATTTTGTGTTTAGCGCATAATAGAGCACAACTTGTTAGATTTTAGTTCATATTTCTGTTGCATAATACCTATCATGGTACAACGGCATATGTTACCACACGGAAAGTTTTCATATTACGAAAAAAAGATGATTTTTAACTCTCTTCTCATTTCCTTTATTTTAAAACATACATCAGAGTCCATCAAATATATTCCAGGTGTCACTATTATATTACAATGTACTACATCCTCGATACCTCAGGAGTTACGATCACTTTTGCTCTCTTCTTCCTGGAACATGTCATGACAAAATTGAAGGCACAAGCGAAGTACTTTGATTGGTTCCAGGAAAACGACTGACCAATCACAGGCGATACGCTGCTTTTGAATATTACAGAGCCAGGTCGACACCAAACTTCAAAGCAATTGCGGTTTACCGTGACCTCGGGATTTGCCTGATGTACATTAAAGGATCAAACTAGTCTTTTCGTCTTGTCCACAAGGTATGGCACAAGGAACCCTCAATTTTGCCATGATATGTTCCTGGGGTGCAGAGAGAGCGAATGTGATTGCATCCCCTGGAGTATAGAGGGCAAATGCACTCGCACTTCTGTGATATGTAGCTTGTCCTGTTGGAGTTATCGCCCTGTAAACGGTCAGTGTTGGACTGACGTCTCATTGAAGTCTCGTGCTATTCAGAGCTTTCAGGTTAATTAAAGTATTCAATAATATACCATTGTTATTTTTATTAAGATATCTTGTACCTATGTTTACGAAGATTTTGCTGTGTATTACATCGTTTACTTGTGTTTACTTGTGTTTACTTGTTGTTAACTTGTGTTTACTTGTTGTTTACTTGTTTACTTGTGTTTACTTGTTGTTTACTTGTGTTTACTTGTGTTTACTTGTTGTTTACTTGTTTACTTGTTGTTTACTTGTTTACTTGTTGTTTACTTGTGTTTACTTGTGTTTACTTGTGTTTACTTGTTGTTTACTTGTTTACTTGTGTTTACTTGTTGTTTACTTGTGTTTACTTGTGTTTACTTGTTGTTTACTTGTTTACTTGTTGTTTACTTGTTTACTTGTTGTTTACTTGTTTACTTGTGTTTACTTGTGTTTACTTGTTGTTTACTTGTTTACTTGTTGTTTACTTGTTTACTTGTGTTTACTTGTGTTTACTTGTGTTTACTTGTTGTTTACTTGTGTTTACTTGTGTTTACTTGTGTTTACTTGTTGTTTACTTGTGTTTACTTGTGTTTACTTGTTGTTTACTTGTTTACTTGTTGTTTAGTTGTTGTTTTCTTTTTGTTTAATTGTTCTTTAATAGTTGTTAATATGGCTATTTGTTCATTACATTTAAGTCCCGTATAGTAATCGTGTGTACTTATCAACTATATAATGTGTCACTTGTTCTGTTTCCATATTTTTGTTTCAAATTTTGATAAGAAAATATATCATTAAAATTTCACATATTAATTTATAACTTCACATATACCACGCAAAACAAGAAAATGGACTAAAATGACATATGAAACACCATTAACCAGTAAATACTAAGCACTACTTTTTGATTGAATGGACACCTATCTAAAACTGAAGATAACCACACATGCCGGTCACGATGGTACCAAAGCGTGAAATTAAACCAATGTTTTATGTGTTTCTTACACAATGTATTTGTTGAATGTCGCCAATGTTTCATTTGTTTCATATATATCGTGTTTGGTGAATGGCGCCAATGTTTTATGATTCATATACAAAGTGTTTGGGGAATGGCGCCAATGTTTTATGATTCATATACAAAGTGTTTGGGGAATGGCGCCAATGTTTTATGATTCATATACAAAGTGTTTGGGGAATGGCGCCAATGTTTCATGTGTTCATATACCAAATGTTTTGTGAATGACGTCAATGTTTTATGCGTTTTATGAACAGGGTCAAAATTTTTAAGTGATTATATTGATTGTCAGATTCTGTTGGACATAAGATATACTGAATTGGTTGTTTTATAATTACTTGTATATCATCCGTAAAACTCGCGTTACGTTTAGTCTGTCATTGTATACCGGGTATAGCGCGAGTACGTTTCTTTGATTGCGCTTTGTACGTATGTATATTTGCTGTACGTAAGTTGTGGTCAGCTACGGACTGGACATGTGACACTTGACGGACTTTGACGAAGTTATTAGATTAGTTGAAAGTTTCTGCCTTGTGGATTTCTTTTATTGTCTTAGTACTTCGGGACATTTGAATTGTATCTCTCCGAGTGAACGGTTCCAGTGTCAGTAAGACTGTCTCTGTATATTTCTGGGTCAGTTTAATTAGTTTTCTCCTTCTAGTTGCTTCCCTGGTGTATCCGTTCTGTTTGAATGAGTAATTGTGTAAGTGAAATATTAATAAATTATTTTAAAATGTGATAGAACAGTATATTGTGATCAGTGTGGTACGTGGTCGGTAGTGTTTCTTGTGATATTCATTGAAACGTTACGTTCTCTGATTATGTTGTATTTGAATATTGTAAGTAAGAATATGTGTTGTATTCATTGTAGCATTTGTACCTGCTATTGTGGTGACAAAACTATGTGGTGTCATCT